ATATTCAATACTTATTATAAATTGATATATAAATTTACTGCATTATATAATAATAGATTATATATTAGATTTATAGATTATTATTGTTATATGTGTATATATTTTCTTATATATTCATGTTTATTTTTTTTCTATATTGTTATTTGTTAGATATCTATTATTGGTTGTTATTATATTCTCATTAATGCATTGCATGGTGTTATGTTATTTATTACATAAAACGAATGAGATATTAAAAATATTATTTGTGAATAAAGTGCACAGTGAAGAATTTAATTATTTTAATTACATATTCTTGAAGATTGTTAACACATACATTTTGTATTATAAATTTATTGTAACTTAATACTAAATACCAATATTCTCCGACGTTTTAAAAACGTCTTAAAAAGGACGTTGTTTTTTAATTTCTTAACAATTGAATTTGCATTTTGAATTTTGCAACAAAAGCTCCAAAAATTAAAAAAAAGACGTTTTAATTATTTACGTGTTTACAAGCATCTTTCCACTGTCAAAAGTAGCTCAGAAACGAAAATAAGCATGTAGAAAAATTCAAATTACCTGCTGGAACGGCCAGAAACGCTCTATTTTAATCAGGATTTTATGAAATTTGTTAACAGGAACGCATGATGATGCAGGAGCTTTACTCGGAGAAGTGCCATCTATTAATTAACTAAACATAACGACTGCAGTCGGTACACTTACCATCAATGCGTTTGTAATGTTGCTTTAGCTAACCAATAGATAGCACTGTTTCGAGTAAAGCTCCTGCATCATCATGTGCTCCTGTTAACAATTTCATAAAATCCCAGCTAAAATGGAGTGTTTCTGCCGTTAAGAAAAGAGACAAAAATAGCATGTCTGCTCTTTTCTAGTGTCCGAAGCTAGCTGAAGCGCCGAGCTCACATGTAAATACGTGGCTTGCGCATGTGTATGGTATTCTCTCCCTCATTGCTGCCGCGTCTCAAATCTGGCGTCACTGCTTCGATGTACTACGTGCGCGCGAGCGGAGGTTCCTCTCCGTCTGTTTTACTTCATTCTTCAACTTCAGTCTTTGGAGTTAACGAACCAAAAAGGTACGATTTCTTTGCATTTTCCTTGTAACACCTAATTGTACTTTGCAACCTGTGCATCGCTGCTGTCTCTGTTTACTCGTATATCAACTGACGTATGCAATTAGATGAGGATTAGTAATTTGATGCGTGAAACACGTAGCATATTTACAGCCCCACGTAATGATTTAGAAAGATAATTGAATCTTTCAGAAAATTTTTTTATGCGCGACAAGAAAACTATTTTGGTTTTTCAAGCAGGTTCGGCGAAATTTTTTGGTTATGTCAGTCAATGATGAATTAGCGTAATCCAATAGTTAACTGCCTGTCACGTTCAAGTTTTTCTAATTGTAGATGTTTCTCTGGATAAAAAATATGCATTCTGATGTATCTCGATTATCGTTACATTATTTTCTTTTTATCTTGTTGTTTTATTTTCTATTTATTAATTGTACAATTGTAATAGACACTTGATATGTGCACAATTTTGCAACATGTACTATTTACAGAATATTTAACAGAATGTGTTTTTTTACAGGAATATATATTTCCCCCTCTAAGCACTGATGGCTGTTAAAGGATTAGTCTCCGCAATTGTCCAGTTTTTGACTGATCAATTGCAAGATGGGGACATAACTGCTGATTCTCGTGAAAGTTTGGAAGTAGCAATCCAGTGTTTGGAAAGTGCATATAATGTACAAGCCTCTGATGCCCCTGCAAATTTTAATCTCTATCAAGTTTATAAAAGTTTAGTGGAAAATGCAGCACCAAATCTGAGTCCAGAAGCTACACCAGAAGCAAAGGCTGAAGCAGAAAAATTGAAAAATGAAGGCAATGCCCTTATGAAACAAGAGAAACACCATGAAGCACTTGTCAATTATACAAAGTACTTATATAGTTTCTCTTCTCTTATTTTTGTGCATAAATATCATATGTTTAACATCATACAATATTGTTAACTAATCTTGATTATTTTCAGAGCAATACAATTGGATGGTCGCAATGCAGTATATTATTGCAATAGAGCTGCTGTTCATAGTAAACTCGGTAATCATACTCTAGCCATCAAAGATTGTCACTCGGCGCTCTCCATTGATCCTTCCTACAGCAAGGCGTATGGTCGATTAGGTTTAGCATATTCCAGTTTGGAAAGACATAAAGAGGCTAAAGAGAGTTATGAAAAAGCTTTAGCAATGGAACCGGATAATGAAAGTTATCGAAACAATTTACAACTAGCGGAAGAGAAATTGGCTCAATTAGGTGTCAGTCAGGCTATGCCTAATTTGCCCGGTATGGATTTGAGCGCTCTTCTGAGCAATCCAGCTTTAATGAATATGGCACGTCAGATGTTATCTGATCCAGCTATGCAGAATATGATGTGCAATCTCATGTCTGGAAATGTGGAAGAAGGTGGTCGTATGGAAGTACTCATAGAAGCGTAAGAATTCATCACTTTGGTAGAGTGGAAGCATGGATTTTGACAATAGTTTACATTACAGACTAATTTATATATCACTTATTTTTACAAATGTTTCAGAGGTCAACAGTTGGCACAACAAATGCAAAACGCGAACCCCGAATTGATCGAATCGTTGAGACGGCAAATGGGTGGCAACCCAAATGATCCTGAACCACCGCAACAAAATTAAAATATAACTATGTGATAGCTGGACACGAACTTTACCAATGTCGCGGCTGATTTTCTTTCTCGTAGTCTCTTTTACGGGACAGTGCGTTCTAACATGCCACGAGATAAGAGTTACAGCTTTCAATGACAATTCATATTATCATTATGTTTAAAGTGACGCTAATGTGCATAAAAATTGTTTTATAGATTAGTCACGGATTTAAAAATCGTGTCTCTGGGCCTCTAGTATCCTGTCCTCCTCTTCTCTCTGGCTATGTACAATTTTTGATAGCATACATACAACATTGATACAAAAAGTTTTTTAAATGCCGCAACAATTTGAGTGAATATTTAAAAATATGTCATTTTACGCAGAATATTGTTTTCAAATCACACTTAAATGCTGAATTGCGTATACGCAATTGCGAGTCTCTGTGACGCAATCCTTCGTTACTTTCGTTTCAATATTAACAACTTTTTATCGATGTGGTTTATTGAAATCATATTGCATAAATGATCATTGTTATTTCTTATGTCTTAAATAAGTAATTAAAAATTCGATTAATGCGAAATATACTGATTCGAAAAAGTTGTCGAATCGTTATTTAATATTTTATTGATAATCTTATTCCTGGTTTGCGCGCGTGTACGTGTGTGTAAACCATGTGTATTAAAAATAGATATTTCTGTCTATTTTATAAACATACATTAAACTATCTTCATTGAAGGTTTTTGAAACCTTTTTATATCTCAGCCTTACACAGCTCACACATGGTTTCTCAACACATTGCATTTTAAAAATAAAGCAATGTGTTAACTCTATAAAAAAGTCAACACATTGCAATAAGAATGAAGAATATTCAGATTTTTTTATTTGTTTGTATACAATTTGTTGTAATAATCGAAAAAAATTATTTACATTCTGAAAGTTTAATATATAATTAAGAAAAAATCAAACATTTTTGATAATTATTTGATAATATTATCATTTTTAATATTAAGATATTTCCTAAGAACAATTTTATTACTGTGTTTATTTCTATTGATTTTTATTTATTTTTTTTTTGTTTTTTCATGTCAAAGTGCTTTCGACAAGTGTATAATTTAGACGTAACTGAATTGGATGGATGGAAGTATAATGCCGAGTATACTCGTACGGTACACTTTCTATTTACAACGCTAGAAAGTTTTTCGATCCTTAATTCATCGCGGGAAGCGCGGTTTATCGGCGTTTTCGTGACGTTAGATTAACGCATTCGCCACGCGTTGATAATCAACGGATACAGTTTCTCCGCAAGCAGGATGCGCAGCGGATACGTAAATTCCATTAACGGCCGCATTTCCTCGGGATCGGCCGGCCGGGCATTGGGCTAGCCAATTCCACGTGCGTCATGCGGTGACATCATTCTTATTTGGTACGTATCTATGTACTGTACACACGCACATTCCTAGATATTCGCGCTTGACTACATACACGAACACGGATAGCATATTGCTAACTATATCCATGATCAATATATTCAAACATCTATGATTATAAAATCAAATTGTTTTTGTTCTTCCTCGAGATCAGCTGATTCGCAAAATCGATTTAAGAATGAAGCGCGGTCTATAAAAAGCGAGCAATTTAAAAGGACATCAGTAAAAGCTTATGTACACGTTAAATTTCAAATCTCACATTTTTAATTGAAAAGATTAATTTTTTTATTAATAACTAAAATACCTTACAGTATTCACGTAGAAGCATTTGTGTATTATATATCATCCTGAGAGTTGTATAATACAGCTGAAATTTTAATTCCGATTCGGCACGAATGCAATTAGTACTTTTCTAATAAATGAATCTCGTTTGAGCTTGCCGCGTTTAGTGCTAAATCTACAACGGGAATGCGGGCGAATGTCGTCATCGAGGCGTCTCATGGCCTTGAACTTCTCTGTAAAAAAAAAAGGTATAACTCCAGACTATTTAATTTACGGACAATTGCAGAAATTTTAATTTATAATTGATAAAATAATAACATTCTTCGCACGAGCGAGCATACATACATATGTGCTATAATGTAAAATTGACTCACTGTGACAGAAAGGGATATTTTACATAGCTTTTATTTTTTATATCGATGATTTTATACAGTATATATGTATATATTTTTCGACACCATAAAATCTAAATTTTAGATTAATAATCCTTGTGCTGAATATTTAAAAAAAATGCAGAATAACCTAAAGTAACCAACATTTTCATCTTAGATTGGATAAATTTTGTACTGTGCGCACGTTGAAAAGTACATGATGGGTGACCATACATACGTATGAACCGTGGAGAAACGGCGCACGGCCGTTATTTACATATTTTCCAACCCTTTCCGTCATCCACCCACAAACGACAGCGGCAACAGCACGAGCGAGAAGTACGATGCGTGCGCAAAGTTCTTCCACAGGTTCGTGACGTACGGCGAGCGGATGCGCGTGATTCGCCGGTTTCGGACCGTATCACAGGTCTGTCTAAAGCGATGGCGAATTTCCGGATCGATCTCCGTTCAGCTGGATATGCGGTTAACCTATGTCTTGTGTCTTCGCCGCGCCTTTCACGATCGATGCTGTAATTTTAGCTTCGTCATCGAAGCAATTGACAGATAATTTATACTTATCTAAATATAACAGCCTGCTCTTTTCAGCTACAATGTCTAGCGATTTTTCTCTATTTCTTCTTTCCTTTCAATTCTCGAATGTGTACTTACTATCTATTTATGCAAATACTGTTTATCTTTATTAGACACACTCAAAATGAGACGTTAGATTTTTTTGTGCGTGAAGTATGGTTATAATTGATCATTTAATTAATATTATTGCAAACGTCAAGAGTGTTATATTATTATAAGAACTAGCATATTATAATGGCAAATCGCTGTAAATTAATGTGTAATGTTCCCTCTGACAAATTTCTGAATGCCAACTCGTTGCGCAAATTAGAGCGGCACGCGCACAAGTCACGTGCGTCGAGCGACACTCGACGTGACTTGAGGGCACTCCGACGCGCTTGGCACGCCCCTGACAGAGCTGAAGCTGCCGCCGTTCGCCCCACCGCCGCGACCGATCGCCGTACACTGAACAGATCGAGGTGTGGCCATCGAGGGCAGCCATTTTCTTGACTTTCTGTCGCTTAAGATTTCAGGTAAATACGCAATTATATCTTAAGTTAATGTCGGCCGGAGTAGTGCGAGGGTGCGTGGTGCGTCGTGCGTGCAAACGTCGCGAGCGTGGTCGAGCGCGTTAGAAATCCCGCCGGGACGTTGGACCGGGTCCGGTGCTAAAAGAGGGAAAAAAGGAGCCTCCTCCTCCGAGAGCCGAGAGAGTGAGGGAGAGAGAGAAAGAGAGAGCGAGACGGGGAGATAGGTGGACGGAGAAAGAAAGAGAGAGAGAGTGAGAAAGAGAGAACGGGTTGCGCGAGGAGGCCTCGAGGGAGTGCCATGCGTCGCGAATCTCGTCCGCTCGGCATCGTCGTACGGTGAAGCGTGCTCTGAACTCGGCGGCTCTCTTGTTGTATTTGTATTATCCGTGCGCACACGAGTTGATACTAGTTTACGTTACACATTGTCGTCATCTTCGCTTGCTTCGTTGCCGCTGTCGCGAAGCTAAGTAATTCGCACAACGAATCTCTTGGAATGTTCTCGGGCTCTACCTGACACTACGTGGCCGTTTTAGACCAGTAAGTAAAGTTTCTTACACCGACGTATTGTCTCTTCTCTCGCAGCGGTTTCCTATACGTACCCCTGTTACGCGCCACGCACTCTCACGCCCCTACTTCCACATCCCTTTTCTCCGTTCCCAAGTCTGTCCCTTTCAGCTGCACTGTACACGTTTACAACCTCTGCATAATGACCTGAAGTACAAACGCTCGGCACTGACGCGAAAAGGCGGAAAAATTGAAAGTGCAGTTAAAAGGGAACAGATTTCAAGTTGTCGCCTCGTCGTCTCCTTGCCTTACTGCACGGCAGGATGCACATCCGGCGTGTGTCCGGAATTTAGTGGAAAACCGCTAAACATCTTCGTCTTTCGATCGTTTCCCAATTGTGACGGATTTATAATCGATAATGTGTCTGCTTTCGTGACAGCGTTCGATCGAGCCGGATGTAGCCCGACGACGTTATTTCGACCCTACATAAACAGATTCTCGAGTACGTGCACACTTTTGACGTGACAGTCATGCGACGTGCCTAGCATCGCCGGGAGCAGCGCTGACTTTAGGTTCGTCTTTTCGGCTGTGCTATGTTCCACTTTCTACATTCAAAATGAAACGTGTTTGGAATTTTATAGAAAATTTGGAATCGCCGTTGAATCTGTTCAATTCAGAGAAATCGGATCTTCATCTCGGGAGATATAAAATTTTGTAAAGAAGTGTAGAGTGTAACTAAAAAAAAAAGACTAAACGACAATTAAGAGGCTTGTTACTTTTAATTACACCTTCTACACTTTGTTTCTCTCTTTTTTTGTCTCTCTCTTTCTCGCTCTTTCTCATTTCGAAGGTCGAATATGCATGAATAGCATTTCAAACGCGAAGAAGTGTACCTGAGTGCAGGTAAAACGAAACGAACTTCCCAACGTCTACGATGTCGATAGCGTCTCCCGAGAATCCGCGTCATCGTTAGCGTCTCCTGAGCACTCGCGTCATCGATGGCGTCCTGGGTATCCGCCACGTACTCTCTCCCTCTCTTTCTCTTTCTCGGTCTCTTTCATACTCTCCGACCTTGGCCGATGCGCACTATCTTAGTTGCGGAGAAAAGTATAGGTTAGTTTAGCTGAGGCGTATTGGTCAGGTATATTCTTTTAGTCACACTTTCTGCCATCTCTGCCTTTTCTTGCTTCGTTTAAAATCCATTGTAGACGTTTCAGACGTAAAAAAAAGTGACGAAAGTGCAACGTTAAACAGGACGGTTCTGTTAGCTAACAATAGCCTCTTCGTTCTCGTAGAAGACGCTCGGCGACAAGGTTGCGGATTGTTCAAGGCGATTGCTGCACATCTTTCGGCGTCGACCCGTATGTTTATCATCTTCGATCATTCTTATGAAAAATACACGAAAGCCTTGGTCCAATCTGGCGTGCAATATTTTCTCGATATTCTCTCGATATGTCAGTGGCTCATTTTTTTTCTCGATAGGTTATAGGCAACATGTAAATAGAACAAAGGACTCGTTCCTGCGTGTCGGAGATTCGTCCATTGACGTGGACGCAGTTCGTTGCTGAGATATTTAGCTAGTTTTGTTCGTATGGCTGTTGCAGGTCGAAACAATTGTAGGGACAATACTTGGCCTTTTTTGAGTGGAGATTCTATGACACTTTTGTACTTTATGGGCGATATTCCATGTTGAAGCTACCGCTTTTGTGTGATTTTGCTGAATATAATTATGATCTGTTGCATTGAGCCACTCTTGAGAATGGAATATGCGTTACAAGATCTAAATTGATTTCTTTAGGTGTTGTTACACAGATTAACTCATTCGATCTTTCGCATCAGCTTCTTCTGTTGCTATCGTACTTTCTTCTTGATTCTTAAATCAGGAATCACTTTTTGCTGTGGACAACATGTATTTCATGTTAAAATTATCTTTGAACTCTTCGCGGGATTCTGTACAGCACATTGTTATGTTTGTACAGTGTGTGTGTACAGTGTACCACATTTGATTTACGCTTTATCAAATAATTCTTCTAATGGGTATATACAATGTTTGATATTGCATGCCTAACAGCAAATAATATACCGATCTTTCGTTCCTTTTCTTTTGCATGTAATATTTTGACAGATTTATTATTTTATCCTGATACATAAGGTAAAGTCTTTGAATTGCAACTTTGGGGAACTTACTGTTAGATATGATGTTAAGTGGCACTTGAATGCAATCAATCGATATTAGTATTATTTTATGCATTGACACGTTTATTGATACTGTGGGTGTAGTGATGATAAAATAGTAAAGACCATACCTTATGTAGTGACAAATTTCATATACTTTGATTTAAATGTGTACATAAGATAATCAAGTACGAAGATGTAAGAACTATTATAGTTAGTCATTGATGATCCTACTGAGAAAGACCTTGTAGCATATGTACATTTTTTTTTTTAATGTCAGAAGGAAAAAGAGTTGAGAAACGCAACATGTTACAGAAGTTTTATATAACATATATGGAGAAAGAATTGAATTTTAATTCTATTTTAATTATATTTATGGAATTTTTAGTGAGACAGAAGTTACATACATATTTATATATATTTATATATATATATATTTTTTTTTATATTTGTTGTGTGGTATATGCATTCATCTCGCAGCTTCCTACCTACATCTAACATATAAAATGTCCACTTAAAACAGAGACGCTGAAAGAAAGACTAAAAACATGGGATGCAATGCGGGCCGATGCCTCGGTCCAGACGATACGGGATCAGGTACGACCCAGTCAATAATCCTTTAAGAATTCAGCCCTCGTAGGTCCTGCTTTTTCATAGCGTGATCGAGTAGATCACAGGATTTAGAATAAATTCTCTTTTCTCACTTGCTTTTGCGAGTGGTATTGGAAATCATAGATGAAATTAGAGTACGGTAAATGTCGAAGAAGCGAAAGAGCACCGTATTTCGTCCCGAAAGAAATTCTGTACAAGTGTTCTGTACACTGAGATTGATTCGACATCAAGGGACTGCGATAATTGCATTTCAGGGAGAAAACGATAAAATAGAATTATACCCTACGAGGTTTGAACGTGAGACACTATTTATTACACTCCGAGAAGGAGAGATGTACATAATGCGAATTACATGATCTCTCGAAAGATTTACCCTGACTTCTTCCTAGCTCTGTCCTGAAGAATGCCTCATCCGTCACTTCTTTCGTACTTGTACACACGCTTTCGAATTTCCTTGACTAAATCTCTTCTTCTGCTCCGCTCAATTCTAATTTACTGATGCTGTAAGGGAAGTACAAATAGTACCGATGTTGATATTAACTTCCACTTTTTTCCAGCTACCTTTTTTTACATTCCTGACATGTTTTATGTTCCACAATGTGATCCATGTATGTCGCAGACTCGTCACACTGCATGCTTTTAGTTTAAATTATTTGGTAGTGTTTCCCGTTCAATGTTGCTATTAATTAACTGAAATTCTGTATTTCTATCTATCAATTTAGTGTCACCTCTTAGGCTTAAAGGTATTCTAAACTATACATTTAAATAGGCTTACACGTCCTGAAGGACTAGAATTTGCAGTACAGTTTTCATCATTTGCACCTGTGATAAGGATACTTACTGTAGATAACGATTATTTGATACGTAGGAAGAAATCGGTTTGGAAATTCACTGTACAATATATAGTATAGTGTACTTTGTGCAAATGAGTCACGATTAATGAGAAACGCGATAAAAGTATAGTTATCGGACTTTATCACATATTAAACACCGCGGCACGATATGATTGTGAAATTAATTATAAGAATGAATTAATATAACTATCTATAAAGTAGGTAAGTTATTTTTGGTGGAAAAAAGGTGACTTTTTAACATCTATTGGAACATAAAGTATCTAAAATCTCACCTTTGAGGCAATATTTCCTCCCCACTACTTTGTGCAGATAAAACCACATTGATAAATCGAAGACGCAAAGTACTCGTTTGCGATAAAGGAAAATTACACAATTTTATCGAAATCTTTTGGATGTAAAGACGCGATGTAATTACGTATGTATACGTTATATGCGATACAACAAAAAGGATTTGCCAGATTTCAGCACAGATATCATTGACTTGATTGTGCAATTGCAAAGTTTTACTAACTTGTAACAAACGTACTACACGTTCCGCTTTTTGTATTAATTAATCAGTAATTGCATACATCTTCAAAGTGATAAATGTCCTAAACAAGCAAGCAGTGCAAAGTCGTATATCATCTTGTTGATTTATCTGCCTGAAGATCAACTAACATTGCGACGCTTTAAATTTTAGGATTCATGGCAGCCATTAGGAAGAAGTTGGTTATCGTGGGCGACGGTGCTTGCGGTAAAACATGTCTACTCATTGTGTTCAGCAAAGACCAGTTTCCTGAAGTGTACGTACCTACAGTATTCGAGAATTATGTCGCCGACATTGAGGTCGATGGCAAACAGGTGCGTTTCTACTTTTTTTAAATTTTCATTGCTCTCCGTTGAGAGGTATTTTTAAATTTCTCTGTAACAAATGACGATTCTCACGGAAAATCTCTTTTAACAAACAGGTTGAACTGGCTCTTTGGGACACAGCTGGACAAGAAGATTACGACAGGTTGCGTCCGTTGTCATACCCAGACACGGACGTCATCCTAATGTGCTTCTCCATCGACAGTCCCGATTCCTTGGAGAACATTCCCGAGAAGTGGACACCAGAGGTGAAGCACTTCTGCCCGAACGTGCCCATTATCCTTGTGGGAAACAAAAAAGACTTGCGCAATGATCCCAACACCATCAAGGAACTCAGCAAAATGAAGCAGGAACCAGTCAAACCCGAAGAGGGTAGAGCCATGGCTGAGAAAATCAATGCTTTCGCCTACCTTGAGTGTTCCGCCAAGAGCAAGGAAGGTGTGAGGGAAGTTTTCGAAACGGCAACTCGGGCTGCATTACAAGTATGTCTTAATTCATAATATAATATTTTATTTTTTCTATAATTTCTGAACAATAATGTTCGTTAAAAAGCTATAGATTCGTTAGAATAATATTAAAGATTAACAAATAAAATATTCAATATTTATCAAAGAGTGAATAATATGAAAGGAACTATGCTTAAAGGAATGTGCTTCGAAAAGAGACATTTAGTAAAAGATATTTGCACAATTGCAATTATTTATTATTCTTTAATGCATTGATTAATTATTGTGCTAATGTGAATATTGTACAATCTTAGGTAAAGAAGAAGAAGAAGGGCAGATGTAGGCTTCTTTAAGATGTAATACCAAGTGAGCCCGATAGAACTCGGGTGAGGTAATGGAATTGCGGAACTAGCTGTAATGAAGCTAGTCGTAATGCCTGAGACTCCCAGCGGAAACCATAACATCTTACCTTTAATTATTTTACATAATAAAACAAGTCTACAACAGCAAAAAAAAGAAAAAAAAGAAAAGGTGTATTTTTTAACAGTAATGAATTGTGCTTCGAGTTTAAAAGATTAAAGAAGTAATTGTCATACCAAGTATCTACATCTTACGGTTACACAATTATCTTATCATTGTAGTGATTATTACTATTATTATTAGTATCTCATTATTATTATTATTATTAATATTATTATTATTAATATTATTATTATAATTATTATTATTATTATTATTATTATATGCATTCTACACCTTTGTTTTTTATCGTAGTGGCTCTTTATTTTGGTAATAAACAAAATGAAAGAAAGAAAAATTAATCGAGTTGAGAGAGAATACTAATGGGAAACAGTGAATACAAGACAATGTAACTTGCAAAGATGCAGTCAAAGAGCAATGTGTTAACTTGAAGGGACAGTTTGAAAGGATCCAGAATTTTGCATTGTTTTATTAAAATCGTCGTGCTTTTTCTTTTTATCGACTCTAAGACGAAGAAGGAAAAGTAATGGACATTTATTATATTATAAACGCGCATAAGTAGATCAGCAGATCACTTTGATCTTTAAGATACCAACTAGACTAAATGTGTGTATTATTATATTTTATTATTACTACCTTATATAGTTATTATATTACGACGACACTAACATAACAGATTATAACAGCGGCTACATTATATTTATGTATTTCGGGGAACGCGTTCTTTGTGTCTGACCAAGCCGTGACTGGACGTGCCGTTTTTGCGCTTTTCTGTACACATACATATATATATATAAATACATACGCCATCGATATCTTTGGCGTATGATGCATTAAAATCTGAGATTATCAGTCGCGCGTATCGTGTGACAATTTATCTTAAATTGATTTTACCGCGTGTGCCACCATTATTGAGCCAAGCTGTTTCGCCAAATTCACACCGACTTTCAAATCTGTTGTTTTCGCCATAAGCTATTTCTTCCCGCTTCTCGCTTGTGCTGTTCTTTACGCCGAAGCGAAGAGAAAATGATGATGTTATTCGTCCTCTTGTGTAGATCCGTCTAATCGATAAGATCCGTAATAAAATTTTGTCGCAAAGGTGGTGTTGAATTAACGGCCGTGTAACGCGAAGCCTCTCTCGGCCGTTGGTTCAACGAACTTGACTGCGGAATTGTGTTCACTAAGTTCTCTATTCGTTTCTCGAATGTGTTTAGCGATAGTAGACTTTATTATTACACGCAGTACGCTTTTATGGAATTTTTCAAAGCCGCATAAAGGAAAAAGAAGCTTAGCGACGACTTAAGATACTTCTGCCACGAGCGAACGCGCGCACGTACTCGTAGAAAGCAGAGAGAAAAAAAGAAGAGGAAGCAGGGAGAGAGACAGAGAGAGAGAGAGAGAGAGAGAGAGAGAGAGAGAGAGAGAGAGAGAGAGAAAGAAAGGGAGATTTATATTAAGCAATTGAGCGTGCCTGTATAAAATGAGTGCTTCGGGAAGCACGGATACACGCTTCGCTCCTCTGTGCAAGTTCGCGTGTCGCTGCGAAGCTCGAAAGTGTTCTTTTTATAATGAGTTTCGTGGATATACCGTTATATATATAAATATAAATATATTATATATATATACATATAATTGTATCAATTACGCACCCGAGATATTGTATATATACATATAATATAAATTCTTTTACCGTTCTCCCGTAATAGATATACGGTGAAGCGACACACATTCGCGCCGATCGAGATTCGAGTATCGGTTTTTCAGGGCATATACACTATAAACGCATTCGCTCTTCTATTGCATGGAAAAGTAAAGAGCAATAAACAAAAGTAATAAGAACTAATCTGTTCTTCCAGACAGGTCTGGACTCGTAGACCTTCTCAAATCAGATTTGATGGATATGATATAGTCAGAGTCATACATTTTACTTTTCGAAAAGAAAGCGTTATACCTTGGTATTTTGTACACGTACACACGTTCACAACACAGAAAAACACGCATGAAATACTTCTTCCTAAAGAGCCCCGTGAAGCTCGAGTTATCGATATCGCGGTTTTAATCGCTGTAAGCTAATTATCTTCTTCATAAGTAGACGAGATATTTTGAGACTCGAAACGTGATTAACTGGTTTGTACGCGAAGAAAAAAAAAAAAAAAAGTATACTATCGGCAGTTTCCGATGAATAAACCAATTTTTTATGATCAGGAAGAGATCGTGAACCTCCGAAATCTCACTACCAGTTCACAACACCCCTTTCTCTACTAATTAGCTTTTGTATGTAAGACTGTATGATTAACCTACGAACGCTATGATAACAAATTGTAACTAACAATAAACATTTCTTATGACGATGTAACTCGGTGCTACTGCTAGATGACACCCATTTAGTGAAAATGGTAGGCGAGAGTTTCATCTTGTGCATCTCTTTGATATTTATAAAAATAGAACTTATGACTCCATAAGAATACAGCTTATACTCGTTTAATTTGTAATACCTTTTCTCACTTAACGTTCTCACGTAATAATAGCATGATCATTCTCGTGCATTGTATCTGTGAGCGATACTATTTATAATTAATGTTGGGGAAAAAAGGGAGAATAGAAATAGCCGATGCTTTGTATAAAACAATTTATTTTGACTCTTCCGTATAAACAAAAAGATCGCTGTATTTTATCTCTTAACTTAAGGTAGTCGAAACACGAAAAATTGGAATGGAGTGTTACTTCCTATGTATATCTGTATAATTCCTCAAACGTCTGGAAAGCATTACAGGAAAAGTTCCAAATCAGTTCTACGCGTTTCGCCGCGTCATCATACAATCGTTACAAAGTGTACAGTTAATACATGTAGACAATCCTATATGCTAGAGACACTCCCTCCATTCGAACATTCATCTTTCACTTATTGCAAAAATGCCTCACAAAAACGCGTTACATTTGCACTCGCAGGATTATTCCGTTTATGCACGTCCTTGACTGTACTTGCGTGTTGGATGAGGATAATCTAGATAATCGCTCCGTTACATTAGAAAAAAATGTACGAACTTGGCGATCATCTTCACATCTTACAGCTCATCGGTTCTAGGTTGGGTTTCCTTGCCCTTGCGATCGTAGCCCTTGAGCTCGTTAGTGGCGTGCTTGGCGATGTACTTGAGGAAATCGTCGAGTTCACGACCGCCCTCATACTTGACCGGACTGTTCTTCGCGTCCTTGGGCGCCCAGAAGAGGGTTGGAAAACCACGCACTTCATACGGAACTGGCACGTCATTTGCCGTAGCGTCGAACTTGACAATCTCGACATCCTCGTGCTCCAGCTTATCGCCCAACTCGTCGAATACCGGCGCCAGCTTCTTGCAATGGCCGCACCATGGTGCGTAGAATTCGATCAACGTGTCCTTATTATTGTTGGTGACCACCTCGTCGAAGTTCTTGGCCACCGCGACTTTCACGTTACCCGTGTTGCTATCCGGAACCGGCTCGGACTTGAGATACGGCTCTAGAGCGCCGGCTTGCAGATCCTTCAGGAATGCCTCGAAGACATCTACGGAGAATTCCTCCTTGAGAATAAACTTTCGATTCTTCACATCTCGCGCTAAAATAACAGGCTTGTCGCCCTTCACATAATCGATGCCAAAGTCGTTCAATTCATGCTGGAAGTCATCCTTGGAAGCTACGGCGAAAGAGTATTCGGGGAAGTTCTTGGCGACCTTGATGATTCTGTTACGCCAGTAATTTGTTCCCTTGGCGTTCTTCGCATAATCAACATTATAATAGGCTACCACCAAGGGATTCTTGAAGTCTTGAGCATTATCGCGAGTTCGTACGCCAGCGATACCATGACTGCGAGAAAATTGACGTTATAAGATTGTTCAAGGGTCGATCAAAATTTAGGGAGAATATAACAACTACTTACTAATTCTTGGTAACAAAATCATTCAATTCAGTGACAGAGTCACCTCCTTTGTACACTATGCTCTTATCCTCGAATTTGTTGTGGAGTACCTTGGGTCGGTAAAGAACAATTGTGTTCCTGAAAAGAAAACAAGTGTATTAGTTAATGTATTTTACAAATATTTTCTTTTTGCAATAAGCACAAAGAAATTCTGCCATATACATTTTTATCATTTTCAAATTTTTACATACTTGTGGGACACTTCGTCCAGGACTTTCTTGGACGACACATGAGCAAATCTGACCTTCTCTCTGAGTTTCTTGGCAATGATATGGAACGTTGCTGCTAATGGAGAATCGTCTTTTTCGAAGTAACCTACAACGCCGACCTCCTCAACATCCAAGAACGCCTTATGAGTTTCTGGAGTGGTCAACTCTTTAGATGCCGGTCCCACTTGAGCCTGAAATAAAAATACATACAAATATATAGAAATATTATGTTATCGGAGCTAGCAAATACAACAATAAACATGAATCGTTACCTTCATGTACTTCACAATACCAGGTGCTTCTCTTGGACCGTTGTAGTCAGACCTCAACTCGTTGCGTTCGAAGATCTTGAGTGTTGGATAACCATTGACGGAGTACTTGTTGCAAGTTTCTTTTCCAGCTTCTGTACAGTCCACCTTTGCAAGTGTGATCGGTGGCTCATTGCCTATAAGTAACTCGGCTGCCTTAGCGTATTCTGGCTTCAAGCGCTTACAATGTCCACACCTGATTAAATAAACATGCTATTAATTCCCTTGCCATGGTTATATAATGATAGTTAAATGACACACGATGAATGTTGAATGAATCAATTAAATTCTGTCTTTGAATGAACACTCCAGTCAAAATAGAGTGACATTTTAATAAGATAAATTTTTCTAGATGCACTATAATTGCTACTTAAAATAAAATAAATAAATATTAATTAAAAAGAAAAAAAGATACATTAAAAAAATTGTAAAAACTTTAAGGAAAAACGTGAAACATAGAATTAGAAAAATGTGTAATGCTCTTATCAAATATCGAAGAATAGATAAAGATTTGTTAGATACAATATGTATTAGATTTCCAAACATTCGGGAAGATTAGAAATCTGAATACGTCATCAGACACTCGAAATGCCGTATGCCGGCATTTAGTAATAACTGCGAGTGACTTTTACGTTTGAGATATCCCTTCACCCTGACAGGTGGAAAAATACGAATCCTTTCGCCAGTATAAAACATATCAGTTCTATTGCAAAGATAAAGAACTTGTCGCACATTCGGTGATTAAAGACAAGAGACCCGTTCCTTTCATTTTTTGTATTTTTTTTGCACTATTTCACAAGATTTTTCTATTGTTTATTTTTTTCCCACAGATGTTTTAACTCGTTTTATTCCAAGCGCAGAGTTTTTAATAATTAATTTACTGTTAATACAGAAAAAGGAACATAGTGCGGTTAAACGAGATACGCTCAACGAGATATCTTACCATGGTGCGTAAAACATGACGAGCGTGTTCTCGTGGCGTTCGAGCTCGCTGTCGAAGGTTTCGTCCGTGAGCTCCAGGACATCCTTTTCTTCGGCGAAGACGCCGAGCAGCAACAGCGGCAGAATAGTTAGGCACTTTCGCAACATCCTCACGACGGTGGTCCGTCTGATCACTCGCAGGTCAAAAGTAAAACTCAAACTCTATCCGCGTCCGTCGTCGTCGCAGACGTGGCTCTTTTACAGTACGCGACGTTCCGCGAAGTGCTGTCGCACGACGATTGGCCGGCCGGCTTCCCACTCACGTTCTGTATATCTGGTGTCCCGGATATAAACGTCCGTCATGAGATATCGTTATTTTGTAAAAATATTTTCGTCAACTTTTTGTCGACGAAATCCTAGTACGTAATTAATACTAACCTTAATATTTTCGCGAATTAAGGTTTGATCTTGATCTGAACGGATCTTGATTGAAAGAAAATCGAAGCTCGAGTTAAATTCGATTGACTTAGGGCGAATTTTGAAAACACTTTGTTTTCCTTTTCGATTGAAACATTAATTTAAATTTAAAGTTTCCAAACTTTGCTCGACTGAATGTCATCGAGCAAATACAATTTGCCGAGAATTTAGGCGAGTTAAAATCAGCGCGAATTTTTGAAACACATTTCTCCCGTACATTTCTAGACCAATAATTACATTTATTACTCGTGCATTTTTCGTCAAAACCTCACAACTACTTGTCTATGTTCTTAATATTGTAACAGCATATCGATAGTACACACTTTCTCGAAAATATTTATTTTCTGTTACACATTCTTAAATTTTTTGTTATGCATTATTTTTGAAAAAATGGAATATATACATGTACGTATAATAATAAATAATTTTCAATTAAACTATTTTTTTAAGTAACTTCTGTGTTAAGTAATTTTATATGTAAACACATAAATACGTATTTTGTAATAATTGTAATAGTATATAAATTATGTCATGGCAATGCAAAAGGGAAAAACTCGTTTTTTACTCTAGGAAACTTTTAATAATCAAAAGTCCCTCCGTTCATATACAAGTCTGATATAAGACTATCGATACAACGAAGACAGGTTCCGTCCATTTACACGTTGTGTTTCATATATATATAATTTATATATATATATTTATATATATAATTATATTTATATATGTATATTGATTATTTACAAAAATCGTTACATGTATATAAATGACGACATTTATAAACGCGTATCTTAGGAAAGATGGAAACGCATTCCTGACGTAAAGAGCAGGGAGGCAATAAAATCTGAATCGATGGATCGGCGAATTTCAATGTCGGCGATTTGGATGCGTTTTAATTACGATACTTTGCGAGCAACACTGTGACATACTTTCTTCGATCATTTTATGGCATACATCTTGAATTAAATTGGCAATAAACATCCCTTATGTTAGGTCGGACTCCGAGAAACTATAAATCTGTTCTTTTCACCTGCAATACGAAACGAAATAAATAAGTAGCAAAGTAAAAAAAAAAAAACAAAAGAATTGTAAGAAAATGCAGAAAGTACAGATAAAAAGAACAGACCTGTACGATAAATAGAAATGTATGATCTTCAATCGCTTTATTACATTGTAATAAAGTAAAAATTGGCAATCCTATATCTTGGTCATATTTGTTAATCATCAATACAAGTAGCTATTAAATATTATTATTTGATTATCAAATATTTTATTTCACATTTATCTTAAGAAAGATTCTTATGAAACTATCGACCGAATTTCAATCGTTTTTCCCGATTAGAAAAAGAGATAGATTGGAAAAACGATGTTGTGGATATTATCAACTCTCCCTCAATGACAACTCTCTATTTAATCACACCACAATAAACATCATTATTAAGTATCTAGTTTCAATTCACACTTCAAACATTCACACTATCAGTTACATCCCCATGCAGAAATGTAGTTTTCGCAGAAAAGATAAGGCCGGAGAGAAAAATTTTCATACATTTGGATATAATATAATTCATATATAATATAAAATATTCATATAAAATAATATATTGCCACAAAAAAATACAAAATAAAAAAAATAAAAAAAAATACAAAAATATAATACTATAAGTAATATAAATAAAATAAATATAAATAAAAATATAAATATGTTGCATCACGATATATATAAAAAAAAATAAATAAAAATATAAATATGCTGCATCACGATATAAATTATTGCAAATTTAGACTAAATCCAATCGTACTGAAATAGATCATAAAAATATTGATTCGCAAACGGCTAAAACTCAGATCTTACTTCACATTTTATCAGCCAAACGAAAGTTTTCCACTATTATAATAATGAAGTAACGATCGAACATAACTGAAAAGTGCTTTCATCAGCGTTTCCTACATTTCTTCATGATTCACCGTCTGTATTTCAGGGATGCTCGCATCGTATGTCGAGATTGTTAAATTAATCGAGATTTTCGTGGATGGGCAGAACTCACAATGAACAGTGACAAGCGATAAAGGAAGAGATGCGGAAAAGAAAGAGCGATGCAAAAGGCAAAGAAAGCGGAGCTTATAATACACATCATCCCGATGCAACTGTACAACTATAATACATTCGCACATCAGCCGATGCTATAAATAAAGAGAAATAAGGTCCATTCGCCTACGTCTTATCACAGGCTACGATAATGTAAGGATTTGTATTCGACGGGGTGGTCGGCCCGTCCTCAGACAGCGAGAAGAGACAAGCGGAAACCTTAACGGACGTATCGTAGAAAAGTGATTTTCTTCCTCCTTAGGCTTCGTGAGAGAGAAGACGCTCGATGGATACGTGTCCCGGGGATCATGGTAGCGACGATGTGTGATGATGACGGTGATGGTTGTGTAGTGCGCGAAGGACGAACTGTTACGGAATTTAGTATTCGTTATTTCGCGCTCACTACGCGTGCTCGTCATCAAGTATTTTCTCGAGCACTTACTCGCTAGATTCGTTTCTTTGCTATTGCTTACCCGTTACATCGTGGATACGAGAATGCGACGAAACGAGACTGCAATCGAGAGATTCGATGCAACAGCGGTCTAACTCATTTCTTTCAGAACCTAAGATAATTAATAATATTTTATGGCCTCGTAATTAAAGGATCTATAAATAAATTGTCCGCCTTCGGAGCAGAGAAGTCTTGAGAGAATAAAATTTATTTTTGCCAAGTTTGAGATTTTTGCAAGTATTTAAAGAAATGGATCGAGCTACTGTCGCACTTGAACCCTTCAATCGGTCGCAATAAGTTATATAGTTCGCTCTAAGTTTCTAAACAAACTAGTTACATGAAAAAAGATTGCAAGCTGCTACATGAAATACATACGGTAGATTTAATCGTGAGAAAATTGAGACTCGATTGCACCAACAAGACAATTGTCGACTAATTAATTTCATTTTATTAAGCAACTCTACGTTGTCGTTTGTAGATTATCATCACAATTTACGCGATTCTAATATGGCAAATCAAGAGATCAAGTGACCATCTGTGTTGATGTAAGCGAATATCAAACAGTAAGAGTTGATGCAAACGACTCTCAATGTAACTGTATAATGTCGTGCTTGCGGGAAAAGTTTACAAATGCTTCAACTCAATCATCAATCCGTACATATAAAATAGACAAAAATAACAAGACAGTATCGAAAACATCTCTTAAGCGAGCGTTTGCAAGTGTCCCTCAACGCACTTCAACCACTGCAGCGTCGACGTAAGAGCGTCACGTCATTATCACACGGTTCTCCAACTATTCGGCGTTCACGTAAAACATCGACGTCCTTCTCTTCCTATTAAGAACATTATACAATTACGTACGTACGAATGTATAAAATCTGTTTTTACGACTAAATGGGAATGTACGATTCGTTCCTTTTTCTTCTCTCATCGCGCGCGCATTCCTCGCGGCGCGTCGATCGTAGAAATATCGTTACGTTTCCTTACAAATACAGAGTGTAGCGTGATCGTGAGACATGCGTTTTCCACGAGAATCCGCGTCGACGAAATGCTCCTTCTCTCACTTGAAAATCCCCCTTCGAGGTTCTACTCTAATTTCGAGATTTTATGGATTTGGTGAAAACGCATCTCTCTTTCTCTCTTTCTCTCACGCAACCAAAATAACATCGACGTTCCTTACGGGAATGTTTACGGTTAATCGTCGGATTACAAAAGTGTCGCTTCTTTTTGTTTCTCTTATTCAAAGTGGCTCCAACATTCAGAGGCGATATTAAATATCTCTCGGCAATTCACCAGATCACGAACGTTCGCTTTTGGTGCTTTATATGACACGCTTACTTTCGAATGTTGAGCCGCCGAAAGGCATATATGTCGTTACCGTTAACATCGAGTTAAGTTATGGCACACCTACAAAAATGTCCCACTAATTTCACGGGTTTTTGTGCGAATTCTCAAGCACGCGAATTCAAAGTGAACAGCGGAAACAATAAATTGACAAATTTGAGCGTGCATTCCTAATTAAATACAAAGTTAAATAGTACATTTCTTTCCGTCGTGTAACCGAACTGTCAGTCCTGAAATCTTATGCGCGACGATAGCATGTTAATAAATACTTTCTGCGTTTCTGCGAAAATACGAATGACGAAACGTCAACTTGTTGCGTAAAACGAGCTCCTTTTTACTCTTGGAAAAATTCTTATGTAGCGTTTCTCGTTACGAACTGCGTACCTTAAATCGTTAGACTATGTACATATTCGCTTTAAGAAACCTTAGTATTGTTCATACCTCTAAATATTTCTTAATACAATAATTTCGATTCAATTTTTTTATATGTATGTTTTGTGTGTGCGAAATTGCTAAAATGTTCTTTCTTATATCTCTATATCCTCGTTTTCTTTTGCGTAATGCTTGTTACCGCTATTTGTCCAGACATTGTGCGATTACATGTAACGCTTTTCGTTTTCTTTTTCTTCTTTTTTTTGTTTTTACTTTTATTTTTAGACGGAATGAATATACGGATTGTATTATCGTTTGAGCTCGCTTGGCTTTATTGTGATCAAAACTATTTTGAAATTCCAGCCGAACAATACCAATAGAATGCAAAAGTAAATACGCTTGAATAGCAATTTGTGCTTTAACCGAAAGAAAAAGAAATATATTAAAAAAACACTGGCTCTTTTGATATCATTGCTATGTGAAATGTATATATATATATAGATATATATATATATATATAAATATTACGCGATGATAAATCTCATTATGTTTCATGTCTTTCATATATATATATTGGCTGAATACACTCTTCTTTAAATTCTAATAACAACCTCTTTAACGAGGCTACGTTAGCGTCATCACTTCGCGGTCGGTGTTTCCATTCCTTGCGACATGGGCAAGACACGAAGAGAGAACAGAAAGAAGACGAAAAAAGCAAATAATAAAAGCAACATCGATCTTACCATTTTAGCGGTATAAAGCTATTTGCTATTGCGATATTATCAAATATCGAGTCTTATATCCCTAATACAATATCCATAAATACATCGCTCTGGATACATTCAACATGATACATGTATACTGTTATGACACATGGATTGACTCATTATTCTCGCGTTATTATCTGATTCGCGCACGCGAACAATCGCCTTAGGACCATCGATTGATCATTCCACAGAAGAAATCCTCTTATCAGACATCCCAGAAATGAATAAACGCGAATGATTAAATTTAAAAATTTTGCGACACTTTGTTCGATCGTCCACGTCGCGCCTTACGTGGGGCTTACATTAACCGTATTACAACGGTGCGCTAAAGCGAAGTTTAATATCGATACAATATATTGAGACCAATCGTTTATGTCTAATCGCAACCGTTGATGGCGGTACAAAAGAATCGTGTCATGGATTATTCCATGAGTCAGGCGCGATGTTGCGGGGTCTACAGGTCGTACGGGCCATATTTACCGCTGCTGTTGTCCGCAGAAACTGCACTCTCTCTCTCTCTTCTCTCTCTCTCTCTCTCTCTCTCTCTCTCTCTCTCTCTCTCTCTCTTTCTCGTCACACAGCTGCTGAAAACTACGCACCTCGCGGCAGCGTGTATCATCACTACACCATCACAACGGCATCCTCGCCGCAGAACAGGAAAGGATACTGATCGATCATCGTTTGGACCACGTCCTCCAGGTACGGCCTCATAGCCTCGAATCTGCCGAGATCGTTGAATTCGATCGGTAGTAACGTAGGCCACCAGCAGATCGCCAGGTTTTTGCTGTCCATACTGTTGAGTTTACAATTCTCCGCAACCCTGAATTTTAAACGCGACGAGTGAGTTAAAGATTTAAAGCGCATCAGGATTTGATTTGTGCACCGCACTTACTTTACGAAATGTTGAAAGATGAACTTGAGAACGTCGAAATTAACGGGATTCAACTTGTTGAGCATCAGACGCAAAGCCAACAATCTGCCGCTTCGATCTGCGATCATTCCAAGTTTTGGGATTTACGTTAATTTTGCGTTAATTGAAAGCCTATCACGCGATAGTTAGCTTGAAAATAAAAGTACTAACCTTCCATATTCATGCAAGTAGCCGACATAGGTTTGCTAATACCTCGTGCACCTGATATAGGCATAATATATTTTTGAAAATATTCTTGCTCCTCATTGATTGCGATTATAATCAAAATTGAACGACATAATAGACATTTAAAAAACTTTTGAATAGTGCTAAATCAAGATTCTGTAAAAATTGTTTAAATGTCTATGAATAGAACTTGTGTGTCAATTTACCTGATATATCCTCAAGTTCGCTCATGCGCTCTTTGTCAATAAGCGGTGGTAGCCTCTTTGAAAAGAAATCTTTCAAGGCTGTTGCGACAGCATTTACGGGAATATCCAAAGAATGTATATCGACATTACCATCTATAGGTTACAAAATAGATCCATATTATTTATTATACGAGATTTATAAAATAAACGAAAATAAACGTTGAAAAAGAAAGTGGCGATAATTAAGGTCACACGTTTAACAAATGATGATATACCTTCTTCGAACTTTTGGAAAAGCAATTCCACGTGCGCACGATTACCGGGCACCCTATATATTCCTTCCGAGTCCAATCCTTCTTCCTCGATAAATCGTACGCACTTCTCGAGAAACAAGGGTATCCGATTCGTTTCACTCTGCGCGAAATCCTCAATCAAGGGTTGCTGCGACTGACTCGAGATCGGTGTTCCACCTGGGCCTTTGGTCTGTTTTATCTTCTCCTGCTTCTTTTTCTCCCTTTCCTTCTCCTTCTCGGCGTGTTTCTTCAGCTTCTCCTCTTTTTGTCTCCTTTTCTCCAACTTTTCGTCCTCCTTCGCCTTTTGCTTGTCTTTCTTCCTGGTCAGCTTGTCACCGTCCTTCGACTTATTCAATATACCAAACTGCAGAAACGAAACAAGACAAATTACACGTACATTCCGCAGCATCGATTCATATTGTCTGCGCTAAAAACTTACACTAGGTGAATTGATTTCTCGCGGTGAGGAAACGTCTAGACTTGATTCGTCATCTGGAATGCCAAACGTATTTTCACTCCTTTGCTTGGCTAAAATAACAATAGTTTCATGCAAATTAATGAAAATATCAACGCTGTAGCTTGATATTTTGAATTTACTGACATCAAAAGAGAGCAAAAGCTGTCATTAAGAAGTATCGACTTGATATAAATAACATTCTTTAATTACATGTGCATAAAAAGCGTCGTTATATTAGCAGATTAGACTTTAAATATACATCATGTAATAAAACACGTCTTGTATGCGTTAATAAATACTTCCAATTAAAACTCATCGCGTTACTTACAGGGTGCACTGAACATCTCTTGCGCCATATACTTCATATTAAGCGGATGTTGCAGATATTGCTGTTGCAGAGAGTTTCCGGAAAATCTCTTCCGCAAATTAACCGCGGCATATTTGTATTGTTTCGATCTGGACCTCGAAGTGTGCTCTGGATCGCTCGACTCAGAACTGTCGGGAGTCTCACTGGACACTAAAAGAACAGATCATTAGATATCGCCGTATATACATACGCAGATAATGCACGTACAATTGTTTATCGAGTAAAAATAATTAAGAAGGAAGAGCGCAAGGAAAGCATTGTACCTCTGTCTGCTGCATCAACGCGCCAATTTTTGTCATCTTTCATATTGTAGTTCATGCCGACTAGACCGTCCCCGCTTCCCATACTGGCCAGCGATGGCACTTTGGGTGTCGCGACCGGTATCGCGGTGCGTTTTTTGCGCGTTCGTTTGTGTGTCGAAGGTTTCTTGTTGGCTTTACCCAAGACATCAGTTGTTCTTTGCCTCTCCAAGGAACTCCATTCTGAATCGGAGTCACTGTATGCTGTTTACACATAGTTTAAACGTCAATAATTATATACATGTCACTAAATTTAGCATAAAAGGAAAAAAGAAGGAAACACGATTTCGAAAAAAAAAGGAATCTTACATGGCTGTCCCTTTTCGCGTCGGTGGCGCAGCTTGGATTTATTGTTGCTAATTGAATCTTGCACCAAGGCATACATATAATCGCCATCGTAAGCGGAGTACATGCTCGGGACAACGTCCTTCACCTGCGCGTACTCGGAGCCGAGATCCACCAATTCCGGTGTGGCGAGGGGAGCGTGGCCCATCGTATGTTTCGGACCGTGCTCGTCCTTTTCGCCGATCGTCATCCTGGCTATCGCGTCTGTCACATTGGAGAAATCTTTCAGATTGATTTTCCCGGGCTGCTTCAAGGTCTGACTGTTCCCCTTCGGTCGCGGTTTAGCCTGAGAAATATAACGTCGGCCCGTCGTGAAGGCTCTATGCGAATAGCTGTTCGTAACTCCGTCTTGATGCATAAATGTCTCCTTCACCCAACCTATGTTATAAAAAAAATAACAATACACAATTCAGCCCAACGAATCTTAGAGAATTGCAATCGTTGCACGATGAATTGATTCTTATTAATTGCTAACCGGACAGCTTATTCGTGATATCCTCGTTTTTCATCAGTTCTCTCTCTCTTTCCTCTCGATAGAAGTCGACCTGGCTGTAAATGTCGCTGTCGTCGCTCGGCGTTGCTCTATGATCGGCGAACTGTTCGGTCAGTCCAGTGTCGCCCAGATCACCGTCGGGCGTCAATTGCTCGTATGACTCGGAGCCGCTTCTAAAAGTTACGGACATACTGCTTCACATTAGATTTTTGCGCCACAAAAAAATTCAGACATAAGTAGATTCGTTCGCTCTGTTACCGGAAAGCCGCTTCGAAAATAGTTACCCGTCATCCGGCGTTTGAAGATGATAGCTCTCGTGTCGCGGCGGCGGCATCGGATGCAAAGCCGAATACTCCAAGGTACCTTCCCCGCTGTCGTTCAGATTCCCGGGTTCCTCCATGTTGAACGCTTGCTCGATCTCCGGTTTCTTTTCCCACACCACTTTGAAGAAAGGCGTGTAAAATGCGGCTGCAAAGCACGAAGAGATTCGTCAGGAAATATAGTTTGTGTCTAAGAGTGAAATTACACAATAAAATGTGAAAGCTGCTTACTTTTCTGTTGACAGCTAGACGCGGATGTCATAAAATGCGCCTCCAATTTGTCCGCAATAGCATTTCCCTCTGTGATAAGTAGATGACTTAAGTCGTTACTGAAGAAAGCGTTCGCGCCACCAGTGTCGGTCACAGCCATTATTTGTATCGGCAGATTCGGTATGTTCGCGGAAAAGGCACTAGCAAAAACAGAAGACATTTGTATTTTTCGAATATGCAAACGAGAGTCATTTGTATACATACTTTAACGTCGCAAGAGAGGCTTTCCTCTTTGTGGAATAAACGAGTATGAAGCCATGCACTAACTCATCCCTGAACGCATTGGCTCCGTGAAAACTCGAGATAATAACTTCGACACGACGTTTACAGTCTCCCAGAAACGTTTCCAGAACTATAGATCTTTCTCCGCTGAGAAAGCAGCATTGATGATTCAGTAACGGGCCGAGTACGTTCTCGACCGAGTAAGGATCGCCGCAAAACATACACATTATTATCCTGAAGTAAAAAAAAAGGTGAAATAAAATATACAATTATAAATTAACTGATTAATTGCAAATGGTGAAATTTATAATCCACCTGATATCAGGCTCCAAACATTCGATGACGCTCTGGTATATGTTTAAAAAACCAGCTCTATGGTTTATGGATTGTATGAGTTGCTGCAAAGCGTCCTTTACCAATGAACTTGGAAATCTTTTGTGCTTTTCCTGGTCCAGATCGTCTATGCAGACATCGATGAACGGGCATTGCAAGCTGCACGAAAAATTCATAAGATTATTAGGTGTTTCACAGGCTTCAATGTGTGCAATTAACATACCTGTCAGCAAGATTCTGTCCCTCCTCTCGGAGTTTTATGGCCTCCATTTCGTCGATACCGGCTTCTGGCATAAACATGATTACAATGGGCAAACCTTGGAACGGCAGCCTGTCCTCTTGCTCCAGATTTGACAATAAAGTTTTTTCCAAGGAGGATCGAATGTATTCAAACGAATCCTCATTCGAGTAGATGCAAAAAGATCCTGGAACAGAAAGGGGATAATCGTTTGGCATACCGAGAGAGAACGTTTTGCGTAAATGCTAGAAAAATATTTACCATGTGGCATAAAATCGGAGGTAGTGAAGGAATTATGCGGCAATCCGACATCGCCGTCTATGATGCGGTATCCGAGCGTGTACAACTGACAATCTATCTCCACCTCGTCGTCCTCCGTCTGGGCTCTTATTTCGCGAGCAAACTCCTCGCTCAGTCCGTTACTTCCGAGTATGACTAAATTTAACTGATTGTTATCCGATGTTAACTGCCACTGACTACTGTGATTCCATGAGGAAGGTCTGTTAGAACGTTTCCATAGTTGCATTATAAAATCATTCCGCACCGTAACATTGTTCCATGCAACAAACGTTGGCTTCTTACCTGTGAGCTTTCGTTCCGAGTATCCTTTCTATAAGTGCGTCCATGCAGTTCGGATAAGCAGGGCAATGCTCCCTTATAGGACAATGCACGAAACCCAAGTGTTGGAACAACATTAGCTTTCTATCTTGATCTAATCTATCTAACGCTTTGTATCTGGAAGTGAAAATTATTAGTTATAAAAACACATATAATAGTAAGGCTCCATATGATAACAATCAAGAAATATAATAGAAGAGCATTAAGAGCCGTCGCAGGATGCTAAATTTTTAATTTTTCTTAAAGAAATTAATAAATTAGTCTACAAGAGACAGTTAAATTGTACACCGATCTCAGATCGAGATACCTAAAGTGTACGAAATTTTAAGTACATTGTTCTTATATATCGAGAAACTTAATGTACATATAGGAATTATTGGAAAGAAAGGAACTTATTAGTTATATTTTGATAATATTACTTTTATGTAAAAAATTATCCATCGCGAGAGTATTTTATAGAATATTACCTAAAATCATCCAATAATGCGTCTGTGATTTCCTTTATGTCGTCTTGTGTGATAGTGCCGGAAGGCGCTATACTTTTGAAATGATAAAATAAATCAGCATGTTCCAACAGTAATTCCTGCAACACACCACTGTATTCACTCCGTACTTTCTTTATGCAATAACGCAATGGTGTAACCATTCCATGAGATCTTACTTGAAAATTGTGCTTTGCTTTTTCAATAATCTCCTTCTGATGCTGATCATAAATTTCTTGGCAATCGTGATGAGAAAGCTCCTCAAAGCATTCTCTGCCCATAAATAAAACCCGAACTTCAGACAAATGCTTCCCAGGCGTGACATAACCAGTTTCTTCCAATAATTGTTTAAATTGTTTCTTCCACCTAACAGAAATTAATTGACACAAATTAAAAAAGATTCTCCACACAATTTTTCATATTATAAAATAACAATTTAATACGTAGAATACGATTTCAGATGGACTACAATGCCCGGTCATTAATAATACTTTATCATTGCACAAACCAGTTCTATTTATAATATAAGTTAATAATTTACTGCAATTAAACAGCAAATTATTAATGCACTTTATCGCGATAAAAATTTCTCATCAAATTTTAATTTTATCGAATCTTTTTATAATTGTAATTTATGTATCGCAAGGAAATTGACTTTCGATGTATCGACAAACATTGATCGGTTATAAGTATCCGAAATCTACTATTCTCGTATCAACATAATATACAAGCACATACTGTTACACAAATGTTAGCACAGCAAACATCATGGAAGATATGTTACCGTTATTTCCGGCTCAAATATTGATCTACTTTAAGTTAAAAGGAAGCAAGATAAAAAAAAAGCACTAATTACCTTTTCGGAAGTCTGCAGAAAGAAACGCCACCCAAAATGAAGCAAAGCATTAGTAAATTGCACATGAATATTACTTACTAAAGTCGAATGAAACAATACGAATATACGCCTAATTAATTCTATTAATTATGAAAAAGATATAAAGGTACATGAACTCAATTTTGCTGAACGAATAAAAAATATTTATTCGTTAAAGCAATTGGAGCGTCTCGGAGTACTCACTCTAGCCGTCGTTGCTCTTGCTGTAAAGCGTTTATGTGATTTTTAAATACGGTTTCCGCCTCAGGAGTCTCCAGTACGTCGTAAGGAATTTTCGTGCCGTTGCTTTCTCCAAAATCACAATCGATCCATGGTATGTCCTCGGGGCACTCGTAGAAATACTGGTCGAAATCAGGATGCTCCTTTATGTATTGTTGCACCGCCGACCATTCTCTGCAGAGTGTTTTCTCATTTAGCAATCGATTGGCCAGACAAGCCGCGCGAAAAACTTACTAGCTGCGTGAAACTTACTCATTAATTAAATTCGATATATCGGGACAGATTTCGTGGAGGATATCCGGCAACATGTCCAGATAGCCCTGTATCTTCTTCGCTATTTGCTCGTCCTTCAGTTTCTTAATGTGCCTTCTGAACAGTCTCTGCGTCGCCTCAATGCCAAACAACTCTACAAAAGTGGAAAACTCCTTGAGCTGCGCGAGCTTCTTCGAGGCCTGCGACCACAAGGCGCGGTAATCGGTCACGTGTATCCGGATTAATCTCTGCAATGATTCCGTCGACGCGTCCAGCAGCTCTTTCCTAGATCTGGCTGCCTCGGCGAACGGCACCACTTTGCTGCGCATCTTTGTCTTGTCAATCAGCTGCGCCAGGATCATGAAAGCCAAGTCTACATTGATGTTTTCGTGCGCCGAGGTTTCGATGATCAAAATCGATCCTTTGTACTCCTTGCGCATTATCAGTTTTTCAGCTTCCTTGACAAACTGCTCGTTCGCATCGTCATTCTTCGTTGTCACCAGGACAATCGGTTTCTTTGCTTTCATCAAATTATTCAGGATATTCGCCACAAGATCAACTTGCTTCTCTATTGCTCTATTCGGCACAAGACTCACGTCGAACACGCACAGGAACCCGTCGATGTTCAATTTACCATCGGGCAGGACCTTCTGCTCATACTCCTTCTCTATGCCCAGCTGATTCTTGCAGATATACATGAGCTTCTCCGCGCTCGTGATTTTCGTAGCCGCGCATCTCTTCGCGTACGGCTCCATCTTGCCGCCTTTAAACGGCTGAAACGACGCGTCGTCTATAAACTCCGTGTGCTCTATTACTTGAAATTGAAACTCCGTCCCGTCCTCCGCCATTTTCATCACTTCGCCCCAGTACAAAAAGTGATCGTTGTTCACCACACGTCCGCTGAAGTCAGACTGCAATGAAACGTTTGACGGTCAGTAAAACGTGTTACCGAAATTAATCAACAAACTGCGTGGGAAATGCAATTACCTGCGACAACACCGAAATATGTTCCACGTTGTAATCATCGCTCATGGAACGCATGAAGCGATTGCACAGGCACGACTTGCCGACGCCGACCTGTCCCTTGTCCTTCTCCGTGCCGGAAAGCCCGACCACCGCGATGTTAATGCTCTTGGCATTATCGCTTTTCCTCGCCATGTTTAATACACAATGATATCGCTTGTAGCAAACGCCAAAAGAAACTTTTCCTTCCGTCAGATAATGTCGCTCAAGACATAGTGAAATGCCACCGAAAAATTTGCGACAGAGTCGTCTTCGCACCTTTGGTCATTATTTTGAATCCAGAAGTTTGTGTAGAAAAAATTGGTTCAACTTTCCTTTGGTAGCATCTCTCGATGATTTCAATCACAATTCGTTTACTTGCATTGACGAATCTTGAAAACTTATGTACAAATATTTCACGTGCAATCGATTCCCTTCAAAATTCTTCTCTGTGCAATTATCTTTAGCATCAAGTGTTCTCACGCTGAAGACGCAATTAGTAATATTACGTTATTAAGTATAAATAACACAGAGCTTGAAAACCCTTAAACACTATCTATCATTAAGCATAGCGTTTATAGTTTAGCACAGCTGTGAGCAATGGTTCTTTGGAATGGCACTATGTATCTGAAAAACAAATCACAGAGAGATATAGAAATTTGAAACCTTTTCTTATTACCAGCTAATTATTCATAGTTTGTACAATTGCCTCAGCAGTATACTATCCCAGATTCACACTGCGCTATGTGTCTCTTAAAATACAACTATGAATCATGCATTATACTGAAAGAGCTATTCACAATAGCTCTGCCTCATGCTAATTGCATCAATAAGCATTAACAAAGGGCAGAATTGTAAGAATGCCAGACGCCTCCCGAATAATTTAATCTTCCAAAATCAATAAGAAATAAATTATAATCGGCATTAGAGTAACCTTTGCTATTTTTTAGCGACAACCGTGGTGAAGATTCTTCGCAGAATTTTCTCCGAGATATCAAGATTCGAGTTAATTACACCGATAAATTTCGCATTTTATAAAAGCGCCCTTACTCGCTTCGTCATAAGGGATTCGGTTTTTTCGTAGGGGCGGAATTGTCCGCATGTACCCGGCTGTCTACACCTTCCTACACTCTTTCTGAGTTTAGAATGAAATAAGCGGACATTTAATCTCCGAAGGAACAAGAGAAAATAAAAAGGGTGTAGAAAGTGCAACTACAGCGAAATAAATCTACCAGGTTTGCTTTTCTTAATTGCATTGTTATAAATATTTTTGATATTCAATATAAAATATATATATATATATATGCTCTGTTAGCTCATGCATTGGAAAGAAAAGGACGGAGCAAAAACTGAAGATGCAAAAACTAACGAAAGTTGTCGGCGACGCCGAAAGAGATGCAGCAGAACTCCAATTTGCCGCGACCGAAATTATAGATTTCAAATTGTATTTTTAGTTGCGCTAAAGTATACACAAATCCTGGTATCTGGATATAAAGGAAAAAAAAGAAAAGAGAAATTAGAATAAAATGCGAAAAGTGCGAAAACCGGAAGAGAAACCGATCTTACATTTATTTTAGTCGTACCTCTGTTTTATTTTCTCTACATTGAAAAACGGAATAGATGTATATTCTTCCCGGCTTTGAGGCATAAAGAGGAAAACAAAATCGTGGGTACAAGTGAAACTAGCGGATTCTTGGTCAGTGTAGACGCGATTCTTGCCGTTCCGGCGTATCCGAGTGACAATCGCGGGTTTAGATCGATATGCACTGTACACAACCGCGATCAGTTTCGACGGCGATGGAGTCGCAAGTGGCGATGCCGGGCAACGGGATACACGTCTCTCCCCCGGAGATATCGTCCAAAACGGAGGGAGAAGGAGAGCACATTGGGGTGCTCGCCGTCGCATTCACGGAGTGTAAAACATGGGGGTAAAACACCGATGGGCTACCTGAGTGAGGGGAAGCGCACAGAGCTGTCTTCTCGGGAAACGCTGGACTCCTCGGCCCGTCGTCGCCGGAAACCGGCCGTGTCCCGTGGGCCGCTGTCACGGGAGATCCGAGAACACTTCTTCTCTCTCGACGAGCGTATCCGTCCGTTCTCGGCTCTGCTCGGCTCGGCGCGGCGCGGCGGCGTTGACGTTGCGGCGTGACGTTTACGTTGACGCGACTCGTGACCGTGAAACAACGCTTCCTCTACGCTCGTGCGGCACTGCTACGCATTGACGCGACGGCTGGCACGTCTCCCGAGAGTGGTGCGAGATCCCAGGTGTGTAAATAACTTTACGTCAAACACCGAATGTCGCCCCGTAGAGGAGCCATCTTGCTGGGTGGGCACGCATCGGCGGACACGAATGTTTTCCGTTCGAGTAATAGCCACCAAGGCTCAAGCCCGAATACTCGAGGCGCCGAAATGAGACAAAAATAAATTTCTATATAATGCGTGTGAGAAATAAATGATAAGTTTCTATAATGCCTGGAAAAGTAGTGGTCTAAATTAAAATTTAACATTAAGCTTTTCATTGACACTGTAAAAGTTCTCAAAATGTTTTATTTTATCTCCAGTTTTGAAAATTAAAAATATAAAAAAGATTGGGAATTATTAATTTTATAAAATCATTTTTTATGAGAAATAGAATTTTCCTCTTATAGATTATTTTCTGCAATATATATATATATATACAATATTTTTATTATGTAAAGGAGCATATTGTCAACGAGGAAAAGTTATCCGACAATAAAATGTGTTTGTTGCGCTTTATATTTTTTTTTCTCCAAGAACATACGTTAATTTTAAATGCAAAAAGTATATAGAAATATAACGCACATGTCTAATATCGATTGCCGTTAAGTGTATCAGAACGAGCTGAGGGACGACGTAAATGCAGGCACGAGCCTGATCCGCGCGCACAGAGTGACGCCTGGCGGCCTATCGACGAGCATCGCAATCGTGCATTCGAAAAATGGCTGACAGCGGGGATGGTGTGAACAACACGTCGTCCGGGAAAGAGACGAGAAATACACTTACCGACGGTCCGGTCACCGATCCAGCGTCTAACACGAAGGTAAATCACGCCAAACTTTAACGTAACGTAAAAAAATCGGGCCGCCTTGCGCAGTAAGAATAACGGTCGCGGTAATCCAACGACTGCATTGCCACGATTATCGTATTTGCCGCCGTTCTTGCGACGGAGTTGACTGATTTACGAGCTGATAATGTGAGGAACGTCGTCGAGGATATTTCTCTTTATATCGAGTGTCGTTCGTCTCGGTGAAATGAGAAATTATGATGTTTGCCTCTTTCTTTCTTCGTCTTATTTACATCAGGTTCCCTTCTGTCTTCGTCTCTCTTTCTCTCTCCCTCCTTTTCCTACCATTGTTTGTCTCTGTCAGTCTCTTTATCAGTTCCTCACCTGTGTTTCTTTTATGCATTACGTCTAGCCCAACCCTTTAAAGTCTTGTGACCACATGTGGTTGTTACGTAATTGGGCACATGGTATTAATTGACATGTTCTTTGATGAATGGGCGTTGGTTAAAAGCTATCTATTTATGTACTTGTTAGCATATTGAGACTTCTGTTTGCAGCCCGTGACGAAGATTAAGAAATTTTTTTTGCTTGTTTTACTTTTTTATTATTTATTAAATGAATCACTGAAGAAGTAATGAAACACAGACATTGTTTACGTTATCAGAGGCAAATAAGTAACATTTGACAAAAATCTATTTAATTTACAAGAAGAACAAGATCAAGATTGTTTAACGTTATATTCACAGTCTCAATGCACAAAATTTGACACTTTATATTCTCTTCTATGCATTTTTAATGGCTATTTTTAAAGCACAAATAACAAGCTGTTATTACATATTCTATTAATTAAAATAACAATAGCAACTTGAAGAAGTAAGTGCATGCAGTTACACATAGTGCCTATGACCTGGCATTTAAGATGCTTATATTATTTTATAGAGCATTATTCACACAGTAGTCCGTAGGTTCGGTACCAATCACTCATGCATCGCTCATAAGCCTAGACATACCATTTAGGCGTGGCACAATTAGCACTATGTGAATTATTTTAAGTGCAAACGATAACTGAGAAGCGATTAAAGGGGATAGCATATACATATATTGAATAAACTAGCATTTGCTTAAATTGACCATTCCAGCTGATGGGATGACAAAATTCCAAAGAAAAAATTTACAAAAGCAAATTACATTGTATTTATCAAGTATTTTGCAATATTATAACGTTAATAAATATTGCTCTGATTGTTATGCTAATCCATGATTCGAAGATAGAAATCATGCGAGATGCAAAACTGAAGAGTAAGAAATTGAGTGCAAATACAAATTCCAAAATATCTTGAGCACAAGTCTCTTTGGGAGCTTAGTACCAAACTACGGACTGTATTGAAGACACTTGATGCATCTGAATCATGAAATGGTGGTTGTTGTGATTTCAGAGCCTAGAGGCATCAAATAATGCCTTTCACGGCGCGAGAACAAAATTAGTAAGTAAGAGCATATGTGTATAAAACACAAAGTAAACTTGTACCCAATGCCATAGAACAATCCTTGCTATTTCCTTAGAGCTGCTTTACTTTCTTGCTATATAAATGTCGTGCGTGCTGGTCAATTTATCATTCTCGCTTATCAATTACACGACACAGACTAATATTGAGACGATTGTATCATTATTAAATTACAATTTGCGATCTTTCCGCGTGTATTCTATTTCTCGTAGATGTCACATTTTGAGTAGTCCGACTTAAAGTATGCTAGTCTTGTCGCGCAATGATGTAAAATTATTTTTATAACAGATATAAATCGTCCATATTGACCTGTGTATTCAGCAAATTAGTTTCATATATACGCACTTTCAGTTTATATTATAGTTTGTTTTTTTTAACATACCGCGGCCTTTTAAGTGAGAGAAACGCGTTTCACAACTCTTTGCGTTAACTGTACCCTCTGATTTCTAGGACTCAAAATCCGGAGCGCTGAAAAAGTCCAGCCGTTATCGGAGCCGCTCTTTGTCAGCTAGCAGTACCGATAGTTACAGTTCTGGTACGAATGTATTCATGTAACTCTGTTCTAGATGTAGCAAAATCATGTATCAAATCTTTGTGTGGATTTTGCTTTTTGAAAGAAATTTCTTGTAGCGTGCAATTTAGTTAACATCATACTAATATCTTTTAACACTAGTTTACATTTCTGTTGCATTTGTGAGCATTAACATATACACTTGTTACATTATACTCGATATGTAGTCTTATTGTGTTCTAATAGCTTAGAATTACAAATAATAATGTAATCAACACAACACGCATACAAATAACATAGATTCTCTAGCGATTGCTCTAGCCGCTCCATTAAGATAATATGCACTTGCACCTTGATGTGGTACTAATAATAGATGTTTTTCGGCATTTGGCGCTACCTTAGCCTCTTATACAGGAAGTTCGTCCGACGAGGATGATGTGTCACCGCGCGAGAAGATCCAGAAGGCGGAGAAGGGCTTTACGGATTTCTGCGTGCGCAACATCAATCAGCAGGCTTTTGGTCGCAGAGAGATCGAGATCGCCGAGCAGGAAATGCCGGGGATCATGGCACTGCGAAAACGCGCGGCGGATGACAAGGTGTGACTCACTTCCTTTATGCTGACAGGAGGAATATTGGTTAAAATTAAACATTGACTCGATAGACTAACGAATGTATTTATGTATAAACATCTCTTAAATTCGCAATTCTCCCGGAAATGTTTAAGACTGCGCTGTGAACACTAACATATTAAAATTCATCAGTCTTTTCTCAATGATCCTGTTTCTCGTTCAATGGGCGAGAAAGATTTCACTAACATCTGCATTATATAGCCACTGAAAAACGCCAAAATCGTGGGATGCACTCATATCAACGCGCAGACTGCCGTTCTGATTGAGACACTAGTGGAATTGGGTGCGCAAGTGCGATGGGCGGCATGCAACATTTATTCCACGCAGAACGAAGTGGCCGCGGCATTAGCGTACGCCGGGTATCCGGTGTTTGCGTGGCGCGGCGAAACCGAGGAAGATTTCTGGTGGTGCATTGATAAATGCGTAGCGGCTGAGAATTGGCAGCCTAATATGATATTAGACGACGGTGGTGATGCTACGCACTTAATGCTCAAGAAATACAACGCCATGTTCAAAATGATTCAAGGTTTATCTTCTTTATCTTGTCGTTCTATGCAATATTATATTTTAATTTATCATAGATTTTTCTTCTAATGGAAAAGATTTCCGATAGTACGAAAGGATCATCATAATTAAAGACTGAAAGTAGGAAATTTTTTTATAAAAACAGATAAAAAAAACGATGGAAATGTATTGTAGGAATCGTCGAAGAGAGTGTCACGGGTGTTCACAGACTATATCAATTATCAAAGGCAGGTAAATTGTCAGTCCCCGCGATGAACGTGAACGACAGCGTGACCAAAACAAAATTTGACAATCTTTACAGTTGCCGCGAGAGCATTCTCGACAGGTGAGTTACATTCATTTCAAAGAAAGATCTAAGATATATCTTGTGCTTATTCTGAATGCGACACTTGTTAGTTTTCAGCACTTATCGAATTTATTACTTGTAGTTTGAAAAGATCTACCGACATCATGTTCGGCGGGAAGCAGGTTGTGATATGCGGTTACGGGGAGGTTGGAAAAGGATGTTGCCAAGCTCTCAAGGGCTTGGGTTGCATCGTATATATCACCGAGATCGATCCTATATGCGCTCTGCAGGCTAGGTAAGGCGCGCTTGCACGAGCAATTAATTTCCAGCTAGATAGAAGAACTAGCTAGATAGAAAAACTAGCTAGATAGTTGGCCGCCAAGCGGTAGAAATAATATACGTATATGTTACATATGTGTGTGTGTCGTTTGCAGCATGGACGGCTTCAGAGTGATGAAACTCAATGAAGTGATTCGAAATGTAGACATTGTTATTACAGCGACGGGCAATAAAAACGTAGTTACGCGCGAGCACATGGACAAAATGAAGAACGGATGCATCGTGTGCAACATGGGTCACAGCAACACGGAGATCGACGTCGTATGTTACACTTAATTTTTTTTTTACTCAGCGTCGTTCCGCGACGGGCAGTTGCAGTCGCTTGATTCTCGAACGGTTGATTCTGATGAAGTGTATTCTCAACAGAACAGTTTACGTACGCCCGATTTGACTTGGGAGAAAGTAAGGTCGCAAGTAGACCATGTTATCTGGCCGGACGGTAAGCGCATCATCCTGTTAGCGGAAGGTCGTTTGGTGAACTTGTCGTGCTCGAGTATTCCATCCTTTGTGGTGTCGATTACTGCCGCTACGCAAGCATTAGCTCTCATTGAACTATTTAACGCGCCACCAGGACGATATAAGAGCGACGTTTATTTGCTGCCAAAGAAAATGGGTACGTACAAACATAGATACTAAAATTAACACTGCCACTTTTCATCGCATTTAGTGAAAAACAAAAATTACACGGTGTTTTGAAGTAATTTTTATTAATTAAAATAATCAGTATTATATATATGAATTTTTTCACGCATACACACACATGATATACTTTTTCTTATTGAGAAAGAAATTGTTCGATTCCCCCTTTTTTTAATTTAGATTCATGTCTTAAGAACTTAACCACAAATTTTTGGCACTATTCTAGTATTTGATTTGCTTTTAGTTTATACTCGCTGTAATTTCACTCGTCATATGTATAGTGTATTAAAATTAGAAAGATTAAGTCATAACGTCGATATGCAGATGAATACGTAGCGTCGCTGCATTTACCCACATTCGACGCGCATCTGACGGAATTGACCGACGAACAAGCCAAGTACATGGGCCTCAACAAAGCCGGTCCGTTCAAGCCTAATTACTATCGGTTAGTATCAAGCTTGAAACTCCGGCACGAGAGCGATTAATTACTCGATGTGTGCGCCTATCTGTGTTATCCACCTACTATCAATCTGTTTCAGCTACTAAAAAACCAATGGACGAGTAAAATGTGGCATTGACTAGCACGTGCGACACTCACTCAACATTACACATCTTCACAAATATTAAAAAAAAAAGTCAACCACCCTTCCTCCTTGACTTTGTACTTGAAGTCAGCTTTCTTTTTATCCCACTGACGTTCTCTCCTCATAAAATCGATAAAAGATTTTATTTATGGTTCAACCTTTTCGTAGAGAGATCCGCGCGACGTGATTCTGTTGTTATCGTGCTAATCATCCGCAAGGAATGCGTTAATAACGTCATAATGAACACACTGATCTAGCAGTCACCCAATAATCGATATTAGAAACCTCCAACAGGGTTGAGCAAAAGTTTTTTCTGTGATATTTAATCAAATATCAAATAGAATACACAATTGTTTCAAACAGCATATCTTATATTTTTCAGTTATATATCAGAAATATTCTGCTCAGCCCTGGAATTGACATAATTGAGTTTATGTATCCGATTAACTGTCGTAATAATAGTTTTCCTTTTCGAGTGCTTGCGCATAGAGCCTACGTGAGATGAATGGCGTTGAGAAAGAGGCACTTTGCCAGATTGTGCACGCCAGCAAAACCATGCACGCAAACCATAAGTTGACCACTATTATAGATACAAATGCTAGTCGTGTGTATAATTTGCAAGCCGGAGTGCTAATTGAAATTGTATCTGTCCACTAAATACTACTTTCAGTAAGTTCTAGCATTATCATTTGTAAGTGATATGAGCGTTTTAATGATATTGAGAAAAAAAAAATAATATATATGTATGTTGCGTATAACGTAAATTATAAAAAAAAAGGATCGCAAGAATGTTAAAAAAAAAGGAAGATTATGAGAAATTTACGAGGAAATTTGATTTTTCACTTTTGGCGGAAATCGTCTGGCCACACTCAATTTTTGAAAATTTATGCTCTTAAGCTCTTGTTTCATAACACTGCGCATGTTACATATAAATTTTATATACATATATACGTTTGACTATTTACTAGCGCGTACCGTGTAGTGCGTGCGCGTGCTGATGCACGTTAGTCAATGAATTTGTTGTGCCCTTATAGTAGCAAAATTGTATACGCGGTGTGCCCGCCATAAACGATATATCATCCGCAACTATTTATACACCTTTCCCGGAGATGCGGGACTGCCGTAATTTACAGGCGACTAATCCACTGTACATACCTATTTAAGAAGAGAAAAACACTAACACGAAATTAGGCGATAAGTTGTAGATTATAGCCTGTTAATCTCTGGTTATAATTGTTACTCTTGCCTTGCGTGCGACACGAGAAACGATTTGCATACCCCACGTTTAGGAGAAATAAAATGCCTATAATATTTAGAGAAATGGTGATACACAATTGTTCTTCTTTGGATACCACCCGTACCTCTCTCAATAGCGATTGCGAATCAAAATCGCGATCGAACGCGTCGATTCGTGGCTTCGAATTATTGACAATATTAATCGGAAGTATAAAATACATCCAATTTTATATTTTGTCGCAACAATAAGTAGCGGATTACGGACTGATTCATTCCAATTCATCAGACAAAATCCTCGCGAGACGGATTGAAACGAATTAGAATAAATCGGTCGGAAAAGCGATCGGAATAAATTTTACGCAGATTTTCATAAATGGATGTTTAATGTATATGTACAATAACGAAATTATTCGCAAAATCTCTGTAAACGATATAAAACAAATCGAAAAACAGAACGTATATTAGAAGCGAGAATAGGCAAGAACAAGTTTAGGATAGAGAAAATCAATATGGCAATGTTCCTACTACTCGAGGCCAGAGGTCAACTCCGTTATAAATATATGTACTCACACATACGCATACGTACACACATTCACTCGCACTCACACGTATATATACATTGTAAAAATATGTATAAGGCAAATCGTAACGTCGGCTAATCGACGTTTCGCTTCAGACACGACAAAAGCGATACTTGGCAAATATTATTATTCGTTTTCGTTTACTTTCAAGGGATTCGTTACAATAACTTGGAACAAGAACAATCATGTCGTCCTGACATGGGTATTACTGAAATATGTGCATAGATACATAATGGTGGATCTTAATATTTACATATATCGGTATTTAATAATGAACTTGATTGCGTTTGATGTTGAGTGAATAAAATGTGAATGCAATATTGAAATACTCCTATAATTTAATTCCAAGCTGAAAAGCAGCATTGATCGTTCTAGTTCCAAGAAAATTTACTTGATACATGCACGCTCGATGACAAGTTGATAATTAAAACTAATTAGATAAAGAGATTGATTATACATACTAAGAGAACAATATTCCGTTATTAGATTAATAAGCAAGAGAAATATTTCCAAGTATAATCAGAGATTAAATTAAATATGCAAACAAACATGCTAATTTTATTTGCATATATTTGCGCGATTTATCAAACAGTAAATATAGAATCGATGTGTGTGTTGGGAGGTAATCTGTGTAATTGTGTACACAAAATATATAATATGTAGTATGTTCTGACGTTGTTCTGCATAATTTTGCAAAAGATACGAAATTAATCGAAACTTCATACATTCCGCAAGGAAATAGTGCCAGAAATGACTGCAGCTATATTAAAGTGCCATGTTGAACTTTAATGTCAAAGCAATGGCAGTTTTTGTTCTGTTGAAATTGATATTTTTGTAAACATCTTAGGGCGGAAATAAAAGATGTATCATGTTAACGCATGATTTGTGTATGAAAAATCTTTTACCATTTAGAGATAAGATTATTCTTAACTTACAATCTACACAAATTATCAACAGTATCTTTCTTTAGGAAGATATATAATTTAGGAAGAAATATAGCACATTTTGATATAAAAGTTATATATATTTCAGCTTAATAATTATAAATTAACGATTCTTTTTTCTCCAGCGTGTACCGATAACGTTATTTCGAACTTTTTTTTTCTCATTTTTCAAAACAATATTATCGCGCTGCAGAAAAAAGAATAATTAGTATTTCTCTCTCAGCTCTCATCTGTTGTTTTGCACCGGCTGCTCGGTCGTATTCTGTGCGAACGATTTTTGCAGCACTGTGTCTATTAGGCCTATCTGAACATACGGCTTGGATGTCGTCGTCGTTGTCGCTGTCGTCGTCGCAGTCGTTGTCGTCGTCGTCGTCGCCTTCTCAGGCATACTGATTTGCGACGTCAATTTGTCCAGCTCGAACTTCTTGTTCGACTCGACACACGCGTTCAGCTTGTTCACATCGCAGATGTTGATAGCCATCTTCGGCTTCTCCATCTGTTCCATCGAAGCCAAAGTCACATACATATCACTCGTAGGCTTCGTCTTCGGTTTGATCGGTATTAAGGCGTCGTCGACGGTGCCCGCCATTATGCCGACGTCATCGTCCTTTTCGAAGTTCGTTCCTATGGATTTAGGAACGGTACCAATGGCACTGAAACCGCTGCTGCTGCTGCTACCGCTGCTGCTGCTGTTGCTACTACCGCTGCTGTTGCTGCTGTCGCTTCCAGCGTTAATAGCGTTTTCTCGCAATATGGGGCTCGGATTATTCGATAACTCCTCGGAGGACGGCATGCTGATGTAACCAGCGCTGGACCATGTATGCTGCGAAGTCGTGTAGATTGTGTTGTCCGCCAGATTGGGCGCGGGTCGCACCAGCGACAGAGTTTCGCCATGAACCGGCTCACCCGACTTGGCAACCGTGATGTATGGTTTCCAGGAATCGGCTACAGTGTCCGAAATTAAATCTGGCTCTCGCGTCACGCTTCTCTGCCGCAGACTGGAGTGGATCGGCTCCCAGGTCGTTAGAGTCTCCAGCAGTTTGTCGGGCGACACTGCCATAGAATCCACCTCGGTGCCACTGTCGCTGCCAACGTGAGATTCCGCTGTGAGCGAGGAAGTGACAGATTCTTGAGCACTCGAGTCGGCGGATGACTGTCGTATATGTTGCTCGCCGACCTTCTGAAGCAGCTTCTACGCGAACAAGACAGAGCTTGTGTAAGTACATTGTAATTTTCACAGAGTGGAAAAGCGCTCGCGAAATCAAAAAACATTGCAAAGTATAAATAAATTGAAGATAGAGAGGTGTCTCACCATATTTGGAGCGAGTCCAGGCGGAAGTTTTACTTCGACATCTTGCATAGCTCGACACTTCAACCATATTCTGTAAACGCATAAGATATGTTGTGTATATGAAAAGTATGAATATATTAAATGATGTAACTAGAATAATTGTAATTTGTAAAATACAGAAAAGTATGTTACGTAGACAATTTTCTTTACCTTTTAAAAGTATACCAGAGGCACAAGAGAAATGCTATCATGCAAACTCCACCAATGACCCATATAATGACCCATACTCCGAACGATGGTCCTGTTGCGACAAAAAAAAAAAAAAACAATGCAAAATATAAAAAGAACGGAATATGTAAGAAAAAGTATGTGTAAACATGTTTGTGATCTATCTTTCTCGTTCGTTATAGTCTTCTCATTTCGAAGACTTCTCGACAGCGTAGCGGCCGGCCGATATTTTTATGTAAAAAATCAACAATTCTTTTTAAATGACACAAAGCGAGCAGAAATATGCACACATATTTATATCTCTGCAGTAAGTATTTGTATTTTTGTCTATTTTGAGAACATTATTTTATTCAAAAACTATGTAACAAACTATTTTTGAAAATACTTTTTAGAATATTTTTCTCAGTAAAGTACGCGCTACAGCATCTCTATCGCAAGATTATTGTATTATATATATCACGTTTTACTAAATAATTGCTACACATAGATAGAAACATAGATAGAATAATAATTCTTTTCGTTTGCTCCGGTACGAAATAAAATATACTCACCATCGCTGATGCAATATCCTTCCCCGAGATCGGACCAGGGTCCCTTCAAATGTGTGTCGTTAGAAGCAGCGTTGACAGCTCTAACTCGAAACTTGTACGCCTGATCTCGGCCGCTGGCTTTACAATCAATGGGAATGGGTAGTTGCATTTCTGAAATACAAACAATAACAATATTTAACCAGGAATCTCTTTCTCAGTTGAATTTAGCTATATTTTCTTAGCCGCAAATCTCACCTAGTCCGGAAATATTCCGAATTTCATTGCTGTGGGAAATTTCGATTTGATAATACTCCGCTGCCGGGGCAGCGGGATTTTGCGGCGTGTCCCATGTGATAAGTACTTGGCTGGAGTTCATAAAGCGCACCTTGGGCGTGGCAATTTTACCAGGCACACCAATTTCCGTGAGCTTATATATTGTCGGTGACTTCTTACTGCACGCCACTGTGCAAGCGGCGACGCTGACGCTGTAATTCTTATACGCTAAGAGACCCGTCAATTTAACATCATTCTTCTTCTCCTCCACCTTTATCGAGTGCTCGTTGTAGTAGACCTCACAGTACCTAAGCACACCGTTCATCGCTTGTGGCAGCGCCCATGTTATATACATCGTCGTGTTAGTTACTTCGGTGATCGTCACGTTCAACGGCGAGGTGAACGGCGCCGCTTCAAGGGTGGTGTTGTACAGTGCATCGCTTTGCAAACCTTCGCCACCCTTGGTCAGCACCGCGACTGACAGCATGTACGTAGTGTAGGGTATTAGATTGTCGATGACACGCTGCATTTGGTGCGCTTCGGTGGTGACGTTCTGCTTGGGAATTTTGCAGTTGGTGTTGTGCGGCGACTTGATGGGACAATAGTAAATGATGAACCCGTCGACGATTCCGATGCGATCCGAGCAATCGAGTTTCCAGCCGACTTCTATGTAATCCGAGCCGATACGATTGATCCACACAGACTTCATTTTGCTAATCGCCTTGTTGTGAATTACTGTGCACGATGCCCACACCATGCCACTGCTGCCTCTCTTAGTGTTCAGAGCGATCGCGAATTGATACGTCTTCTCTGGATTCAGGCCGGTCATATTGTGGACCGTGCTGTTTCCGGGTATGTGTACCCAGTCCAAATAACCCTGTCAACATATCATTTGGTACTTTAAACTCTCGAAAGAAGATAGTTTGCAAATAGTGGAAAAAAAGAACGTACTTCACATTGAGAAGAATCACGATTATGTTCGCATGAAAAAATCGTATAATTCATAATATCTTCAACTGCAATCGGTGGCCTCCAAGACAATTCATAAGCTCCAGGATTGAAAACGATTTTCGTAAACAGTGTCGGTTCCGGTGGCACTGCAAAAGTAAGTGTTTATTTTTTAATACGTTTAAACGCTACCCTTGCATTTTTTTCTTTATTACTTGCCCCTCTGTATATACTCACTTTCCTCTTTAGTCGGTATAATTATTTTTGTACGTTCTCTACTAGCGCCAACTTCGTTTACCGTAGAGATCGTAAAATGGTATTTATTAGAATTTCCGAGTCCCTTGAATTGATAGTATCCACTGGTTGTATTGGCTTGTTCCAGTACCTTGTGATTATTATCTTCCACATTAATAAGATACATGAAATTATTGCCGTTTTGCTCAGTCTGCGGTATCGTTTGCCAGTATAGAAATACGTCCCTGTTAGCGATATGCTCGATGATGTGAAAACTGCCAACATCAGTTTTTGGTGGACACCCAGGTACTAAAATTAAGTGAAAAATAAACCTTTTAAAAAATCCCTTTGCTTCTTCACTTTTTCTCGCTACATTATACTAATCTTTTCTGTTAAGAAACTTAATTATCTAATTATTAAATGTTTTCTATCAGTACTATTGCACAAGTATTTACATGACTGATTTTAGTGTAATTGGTTCTGCTGTTGTAATAAATATAAAAAGCATGTATTTAAGTATTTGATAGTGAAAGAATCAATTGTGCACAAATGATAAAGTTAACTAGTGCTAGATTTTTTTTCTAATTAATAAATTCACTTACATGTTGACAGCGTCCTGAACGTAATAGAAGCAAATTCACCCCAATTAATATCTGATGCCACCGCACTCTTTAGATGAATTCGAATATCATATGCGGTATTAGCGTATTTCAAGTCGGCAAGATGATGTTCACGATGCATTTCGTGCATATCAGTTGTAATATTGATAAGCTGTGGGCAAAGTTTAATCAAAATTATTATTGTAATGGCAAGCTACGCTCTTTATAGTATCAACAAAATGTTTAACTTATAATAAAAAATATTTGCAATCCTACCTTCCATTCATTACTACTCTCCCATTGATTCTGAACCAAAATTTTGTGATGCAAACCAGGTGGAAAACTAGTCATCGGAAAAGGAACATTCCAGACCACATCTGCACTGTCCGTTGTTATATTAACCACCGACACGTTTACAGGACGTGCAGGGATAACTGAAATTATAGCAACATAGTTACTTTCAAACGTAGCATGTAGCACATCCAAAAATTATTGTTACATTTCTTTCTATTGTATAACATTTTTATACAACATAATAGTATAAATAATAATATTTAAGATTTACATACCAGCAGCGTAATGATTAAAATCATAGTTACGGCTAAGATTTCCCAAAACATTTTGTATGGTCATCATTATTGTAAAATGTGGGTACGGTTGTCTGTATATAGGATCAGTGGTCAAATCCCACATGCATTTGTTTTCCATCGAATGCGCATATTTTTCAGGGCAAGGATGTATTGTTCGTGCACCTACTCTTCCCGGCAATTTAAACGCTATCGCATGTTTCGTTTGAACGAAATTGTGCTTTGGAACCCATTTACAGGTCAAGTTTTCCCAATTATTGGATTTACAATCTATCTCAGATGGTGCTTCAGGAGCGGCTATTGCAAAACACAAAAAATAAAACAAAATGAAATCAATTTCATAAGAAAAGAATGTTTTTAAAATTATTTGCATCATATATTTCGCATGTTGCTCTTTTCGACTTGGTAATAAATAGAAATGCCTCACTTTATAGTCCAATAAGATAAGAAGTAATTTTTTATTAACATTTAATATCATATAGTATATTTCTTTTCAAACTTTAGCTTTAACTTTAGCTGTATATCTTTAGTTTTAGCTCTCCTCCTTCCCTTTCTTTATCAGTGATTATCAAGATGACTGTGTACTTCTTTTCTATATCACATATAACATTCAGATTACAAATATTATAATATAATAACAAATAGTGCAACGTATATTTTACCATATAAAACTTTTCAAATTCTATACGAAATATATGATAGAAATAAAATAGAGAATTAATAAATAGAAATATTATTCTATTTAAAATTCTTCTGTTACAACTTTTCTTTATATAATGTATTTTTGCTCGTTCATAAAATACATTGGCACAATTTGATACCATTAAAACTTGAGGTATCATACATAATAGAATATGTAAAACAATATTTTGTTACTTACTTCCAATTGCAACACTATTGAGACAAACTGGTTCGGTTCTGCGAGGACTTTCCTTTATTCGTAATTTGCACACATACATGTCAATAGCAGGCCTTGGTTTTTCGATGTACAACATTGTCGTTGTTTCATTGATTACTTCGATAAAATCTCGGGGCATTTTTTTGTCATTACGATAGAAAGAAAGATTCGAAGCATTTTTATCTGGATATTTTTCATTTACTTTCGTCTGATTTAATATACAAAAAATCTTCAACGGTTTACCATATTCGACCACAATGTCACCTTCTGGCCAGGTCCCTATAAGAAGTCGGGTAAAATTTACAATGTTATAGTATGGGAAATATTTGTACAATATTAAAAGTTATAAAAAAATATTAAGTATTTATTAAGTATTTATATTCTAACTTTTAATTCATAAATTATGTACAATTTTTATATTTGCATGCACATTTAATGTATGTAGATTTACAACAGTCTAAAATGTGTTTTTCACAAAATGGAAATATTTGCACGCACAGTGTACTTGAATAGCGTTCGTAATTTCAACGTAAACTGTACTGCTGCCGCATTAAATATAGATATATGCATTTAGCTCTACACTAGAATTCCAAAAGAAAAGATAAGACATATGTTTTATTTATAAATCTAACGCACCATGTATACGCAAAAGAGAGAGAGAGACAGAGAGAAAGAGAGATAATGCGTATTGACAATAAATTCTATATATCATCTTTGTCTTATAATGTAAATACAGATTTTGAATTTATCAAACTAAAATTATATTATATACAACAAATAATTGTTTCAATTGTTTAGCTTAGTAGCATTGTTTGTGATGATAAATGAGACAAAAGAGAGTTACACTTTTCATTCATCGCGATTTAATTTAACATGCAGAAATAAATTTAAAAAAATACTTACTCCCTAGCATATCCAATCCGTGCGAGCAATCGACATAATCGGATGCACAAAATGTTGCGCATGATAGTAAGCAGATGAAGAAAAGATACATGGTAGTCCAACCATTTCTTCTCCACTGATAATTCGTCCACCATTCACATGTGGCATCATTTTTATCACTCGACGAGTATTTCTTAGTTGAACGGACGCTACGAGAAATGTTCTTTGTCAATCGAGACTCGTTGTCTTTCGATTGCTTTTTTTGCGTTAAAACAGTGTCTTTTTCGGACAGGACGGCACTATCAGTTCTGGACGCACCCCAAATGTTGTATGTTATGAAACTGCCATGGGCAACGCAAGATTCCGACATGGTAGGAACATCCAATGCGTATCGATGTCCAACATGTCTCGACGCAATGCTTCGTCTATGCAACAGACACCGATTTGCTTCTTCATGCATTCTTCTCGAATCTATGTCGGTTGAAGACATTTCACATTCTCATCACTGAAAAATAAATAAATTCGATTTTTAGAGCGGATTTTAAAGAGTGGATTTTAAAATTAAAACATAGCGATATAACACCATTTTTAATAAATTAATTATAAAACTATCTTTAAACTTTTCAGCACATTTGATGTTAATTTTACAGCGACATATTAATAATATATATGAAAAGATTAATTATTTCACAATGAATCTTACATCTCAATAAAATCTTCGCCAAAAGATAATAAACATTTATAAATTAAAATCAATTTAAGTCGGATTAAAATTTTCAGTAAGCTATATAGCAATTGCTTTATAGCTATAGCAATACTACGTCAAGTTCGTTACACAAAGAGAAATTAGTGAAACAGTAAAATTATAGATGTGAACTGCGTTCAAGCTACAACACGACTAAGCTAGGGCAGTACTTGCCAGTGATCTAATATAGGAAACATGAGAAATGTGGGAGATAAGCAAAGGGAAGGAATGGTTTTTACGAATTTGAGGTCGCGACACATAGAAGAGTGGTTGCTTTTTGCGTATAGCCGTTTCCAAGCTAAAGCAAGAGTTTCCGATAATTCGTTATTATATTTCGTCGAGACAAAATTACAAATACAGCTTCGCGATGATTGACACTTCCATGAGAGAAACCTACAAATGTAAATATTCGATATGCAGGACACGTGTGTTTTATATCACCGTATGAGATATACAAGTAAGATTCGTGCTTGATACAATGACAACATAGAAAACAGTTGGATTTTGTTCAAATCAATCAACGAGTTTAATTAAAATCGATCGATCGACAGATTTTCTATATACCTAATGTATTAGAGTATAAAATAATGAAGAAAACTTGATAAATTTTTGTGAATTTTATATTTTTTATAAGTTTACAAATCTCTCTGATAACCCAAGAGCAAATGTAATTTTAATTTTTAAATCATTAAAAAATAATTTATTCATATTGCGAGTTACATAATGCACCGTGATAAGAAGCAAGATTTTGCTTAGATATGCAAATAGCTCTTTACAGACACGTGTTATTACTTACTGGTGAGAACATAGCAGGAAAATCGTTTTTTTCGAATTCCAAATCTTTTCCTTTCACATTAAAGTAATAAGTTTATGAAATAGCCGCTGCAGTACAATAAAATACAATTTTTTTACGCCCTATTACACGAGAAATGTCGCAATGTCATTAATAATTGATCGATTTTTACAAAGTATTGCATAATCAAATGATTTATTCTAACGGAATAATTTTAGCTCCAATTTTAATATCTAAATCTGAATACTTGGCTATGAGAACGATTCTGCGGAAATTAATTGTTTAATTATACATGTGCGGAAGTTACTGCGGAAATAATCGCTTCAAATAATTAATTGCGCTTGCAACTTTACAATTTATGTTAATAGTTTTAATAGGAAATTTTAGTCCAGGAAAAACGAATATGAAACATAAAGATGTGACGCTTCTTCTCCATAAAACAATGATTCTAATTTTACCGTGTTATGAGATATCGTACGTATCGACAGTACGCTAGAAATTGTAATCAAACCAATTATTATAAAATTATTCTAGTCTGCTACATTATGCGCATTATTTCACAGTTTCGCTCTTGCGAGATAAATTTTGCGCGATAATTTTTTCTTCTCGAGGAAACTGCATAGCGTGAGTAGAAAAAAGAAGGGACGATCGATACCCCATCGTCGTGAAAAACAACAATCGGGTCTTATTTGTGGAGTTCAGAGCTCAGTGAAATCAGAGAACGATATCAAGCGCGCTTGTCGTGCGGCAAGTTTTATCTTGCCGATAAATCGATCGCTGCTTATCTCACGACGTTTTCTCCTGACCAATTTATCCGTTTTTCGCTGTTGTTGAGCTGCAACAGCAATGACGTTAGCAAATCACGGAATAATAGGGAAACTGATAAGAAGGCTTTTTTTCAACAGCCCCGTGCATTTAATTGCGATTGATTCTCGATTCATTGCATTATCGTTCGTTTTATACTCCGATCGATCATACTGCACGAGCGAAAACGCCGCGAGAATTTTCTATCATTTTTTTTTATTATTTAAACACGTGGAAACTGTGATGTCAAAGACTATTAATCCAATTATAATTGGAAGATTATTAATGCTTCGACATTTTAAGACAAATTTTTCAACGAATTAATTACTACTCGAGAAAAAAAGTGTTATTTAATATTTAAGATAAGAACAAAAATATAAAGATTAGATAAGAAATTGAATAACTTTGTATACAATTTAAAACATTTACCACCATCGTACATTTTGTAAAAAAAAAATAATTACACAAAAGTCTCGTTTATATTTGATCAAAAAAGATTAAAAGATCATAATATAATATAGAATATTATATATATATATAAAACATAATATATAATATTAATACATATATCGCAAACTTGCTTGTCCCTGATTTGCTTGAAGCCGATAAAAAAATAAATTATTTTCTAACCATATGCTGTTTAATGTCTCAAATTGCGTGCTGCAAACTTCGAATTTTTGACATTTAATTTATATAATATTCTGTAATAAACAATCTTTTTGATACAGGTAACGATAGGAAAGCATTGATAAGAAAATGACAAGAAAGATTGTGTATGCTCTTATAATGAAATTTTGTTATCATCAAACTTATTGACACTTTAATGACTGATTATGTTGTACTACGTTTCTGTTTTCAAAGCTGAAAGGGAGGCGTTGACGTAACATTACATCTTTTACAAACTTAAGCTGATAAGCGGTCATGCTACGTGCTACGTGCGCTAAGAAATACATATTTTTCACGCACAAATTCGGTTTGCTCGCAGGCGGATATATCGTGGCGTAATATCGACGAGAAAACAAAATTACGAAACAAAATACGTATTCCCCGAAAATTGTAATTCGCGGAAAAAGGTGAGAGTCACTCATACATAATTTCGTGCATCGCGCAGATCGAATCAGAAAAGCGTGGAGTCGTTGGGAGCCGTCGTCGCCGCACGCCGTGCTGGCACGGCGGATTCGCGCCTCCCTTTCCGAAGAACATGCAGCCGTGTATTTATATCTTCGCGCACGCGGAATGACAGATTTCTGTAAAAAACGTCTGAGACGAGGGCTTCGCGGGAATCCACTCTTCCGCGACTTGAACCGAGCGCGCTGACAATATCGTATCGACGCATCGCGCGAGATATCAATGGAAATCTTGGACTGGATTACATTGTAATTAATACTGTTTGTCCGCGAACGTTTTCTAATTATAAAAATTGCACAGCGATTATCTGCTTATTTATCGATCTTTCGTATTTGCGTAGTGAACGCAACTATTCTTCGCACTATTGGAATTATTCAACAGATGTTTTGAACATTCAGTAATTTACGTAATGTTTACATCGTGTGAGAATTTTATTTTTTTTTATTTCATATCCTTCGATATTTCAATGCCTCTCTTAAAGCTTTACGAGCATCGGCAATTTCATACGATATCGATTACTGGCATGTGCGGAGCTATATTGCCCGAATAAGACTCTACACTTTTCTTGAAACAAGGTATTAATTATAGATGCCAGCAATTGCTGAAAACAACGATCATTTAATGGTACATCCGCTTCTCTGAATACTATGTGACGATTCGTTAGAAATCATTAACGTTTCGTTCAATGCGTCAGTTGTTCTCAAATGATTTCAAGATCCTAAGAATTGCTATTATAAATTAACGGGACTTAATTACATTCTTATCGATATCGATATTGATACCAAGTAATGATGCTTATATTACTATAGTTCAAATGAATACGGCAAAGCACAGAATCCAAGAAGGCGGGTCGCACGATTTTTTCATAACTAGAAAATTCGACTGCGAATCTCATTACGATATCGCGTAGCGTATTGGATGACATGAGAATATGCCGTGGTACAATTACATCCATGGAAAATGAACATTGTTATCACGTCAACGGTTCAAAACGAGCAATACGCATCACAAACATGATCCACATTCCCGCCGGTCATATTTAACGCTAAATGAGACCTGCTATCCAATTGTCAACCCGTTTACAATTTGCAAACAAACAGACGAAACTGAGAAATGTATTCAAGCCTATCTTGCACAACCGGATGTAATTTTAAATAAAGCTTTTATGCAAGATTAGCATCTTGCTTCTTGTACATTTCACAGTTACGTTTAACAACATTCTGTGTTTAAAACTCGTTGCCGTGTAAAGTTTCAAAAACATTCTTTGATTTGTATGCTGAGGAAAGCGATAGGCACATCCGTGGTTCCTTCGACGTTCAAAACACAGCTCGGCATTTTACGAGTCGGCCATCACATCTTGTTTCCTGACGAAGGTTGCGACCCAAGATGCTACACGCTAATCGCGTCGTGCATCTTGTTTCCCTAAAGATTTAAGACGCGTCGTCTCTCCCACTTTCTCTCGTATTTTACGTGCATCGAGATGCAACACACATAGTTCGAGAAGCATGAGTAATGTTTAGATCCTACGAATAATTCCGTCCGTCGTCAAAACACATTTAAGTTACATTTAGATAAGGCATTGTTTGCACGATTTTTAATTACAGCTATTTCATTTAAATATTTAATATTTAAATGTCCGGTGGAATTTCATGTTTTTAAATTATAAAACACAATACACAAATAACCAAAAAACAAAAAGAATATTAAATGCTTTTCTCTTTTGAAAATTTCTATGATTTTACGAGCATAGAGTTGTAATAATTAAGAAATTAATGCTCGATGTAGCTGATTTATATTCTACGATCTCGATGCGCGTAAAACTGAGAGACGACGCGCCTTAAATCTTTACAAAAACAAAATACACGACGCGGTTCGTGTAGCATCACGGATCGCACAGCAACCTTCGCCGTGAACAAAATGTGATAATCGGCTCGTAAAATCCCGAGTTGTGTTTTGAACGTCGAAGGAACCACAGAAAGTTTCTTTCGTGCTCGTTGGTATGTGAAGTGAAATATGTACGAAGTATCCATAACAGCGACGTGTTTTATACGTGGAATGTTGTTCCAAAGAAAACTGTGAGACGCATAAGAAGATGTAAGATACTATCGTGCGTAAAAAGACAGATTTTAAAATTCCGTCGCGAATTCTGTGTAAAATATGCTGAAATACGTTTTCCGAATCTCGTCTCGTTTTGTTCGCGGATTGTAAAAAAAAGAATTGTAATCGAACATCATGCGCGAAATATGTTTTTGCTTTATTATTCCCTTATTTTTTGCTCTCCGTACACAAACAGCAAGTCTCATGTTCACTCGCGCGCTCGCGAGCACACAACGCACATGTACACGGCGCGTCGGAGCGAAACAATGCGTACGCACTGACGAGAGTCAATGGGCAGGCAAAGAGGGTGTGTATACACGCACGTACTCCTAATGATGAGAAAAGAAACCAAGATTATGTGCGTTTAATCGCTCCGCGTGAATCGAACCTCAACAGTGCTGCGAGGGCGGGGACAAGCCAAGAAGGAGTAACAGAACGAAGGTTGTTCATTAAGCTTTGCTTGTCTTACATAGTTTCCGCGGCAGAAACTGATACTTTTGTTTCAAACGTGGAAACTGAAGTAAGAGACAAGTAAGAGACCAAGTGCAGGTAGAATGGAGCAAGTATCGCACGACTGCATATATAATATGTTTATCACTTACCGTCGATGCAATTCCATCGACGAATTTCCCCTCACCAAGATCCCTCATCGCGGCGTAACTACACTCGCCGTAGGTAACCGTTTTCGTAGGCGGTTCGCGCACGCGAACCTGTCTCGACTATCGGAAATATCCTAGGCGACCACGATGATGGCAGAAAGAGGAGGGAGAACGAAGGAGAGAAAGAAAAGCTGTGCAAGTGCACGCAACGGGTCGAGCCTGGAGCGGCGGTCGACGACGATCGGTGCCGTTCCTCTTCCGCGCACACACACGCTCAGTGACGATCCGGATCCAGAGCACGCATATGAGAGGATTCACTAGGTTTATTTCACAAGTACACACGCATGTTGCAGCGCCGATTCGGTCTACGTCACTTCATATCCGCGAGAGAATTCTGTTTACATTCGACGACGAAACCTACGGCTCTACGCGATACGCGCATTCTGAGTAAAGTATGCGCGATCAATCACCAGTGCTCTCAACCTAGCGGCCACTGCACAATACAAAGATGGCGCAAAGATGCAAGGCAGGAATCGCTAGTGCATAGACCGATATCAATCGCGTCGGTTTTCACGTTAAATCATTCGACTCCATTGCACGCGTGCTTCTCCTCGCGTATTATATTCGCTCGCTTCATTTGCAGGTTTCGGACAACTATCGGATGCACACCCGCTGTAAATCTACGAACTGAACTCCGAACAGTTATAAGCAGTTACAAGTTACAAGCGCGTCTGACGACTGACGTCACATCGATATGTCAACCAGTGCATTCTTGGAAATAGAGCCGTGAAGTTGACGACTTGCCGCGAGATGCCGTTGCGGCGCCATTTTCAAAAGCGTCATTAGTTCTTATTTTATACATTTCGTAAATTTATCTCTATTTCTTGTCGGTATTTACATTATCAAAGTTATTTTTCTAATAAATAAAAGTTAAAATATTTAGTGTACTTTTGGTACGACGTGAATTAAATGCTATAATTGTTGTTGTTTAAAATTTCCTGTAATTTAATAAGTACATTTTTTATCGCATCTACTTGCAATGTGTTTTCTATTAAAATTCTATATCTGTATCTTTGCTGTATATTACACTTTTCAAAAGATTTCATATTTTTGTGATTGATATGAGACGTCATAACTCGTCTCAGTAATTGTTTGACACGCGAAGATTGCTTAATTAATATCAGTCCCTGTAAAAAATATTTGCTAGAAAAATCGCTTTATTAAGGAATTGACAATGATCGATGACGAAGACGTACATTTCGAGAAAACTGAGTGTCACTAATTGATAGTATTGCTAACGTTGCAGTGCCGTAATTGGTCTCGAGTGCGATTGTGATTAATAGGAAAAACCGAACATGTAAACTTGAAAAAATTACTGATTCTGAACGAATATGTTGACAAGAATCGATAACCTTATTTATCATTACATTTACAGAAAATACGTCACTTTGAAATGCGGAAACGTTTGACGTCATAAGCTAACTAGATTGCCTGACATATCGTAATGAGAAGTCAGTTCTGAAAAGTTCTTGAAAATGGAAAAACCGATTAATTTATCGCTTCCCGTTAACGCCATACATATTAAAGAGATTACAAGTATTATATATTTTTACATAAAAGATTTCCTCAAAGAGAGAAAAGAACATTAACTTTGAAATTGTTTCATTGAACTTACAGTGTAAGAATTTTGATGAATACATTACAATACAAAATAGTCTTGATGGAAGAATGAACATTTAAAAATAAATTATAAAATACTTAATTCCTATCTTGAAATTTGTTAATTAATTAATGTATATAATTATTTATTACATGATAGCTAAGTATAATTTCTATTATCATTAAAAAGTTAGTTAAAACATTGTGTAAACTACGTAAACAATGTAGTTGTAATTAAATCTATCATTTATTATCGCAATATGTTTCAACAACAATATATATTGGTGGTATATTATATCATTATTTCGGATTACTCAACAATTACTCAAGATATAACAGACATATACAAAGTTGGGTTTATATCTGAATTACAATAAATATATGAAGCTCGTACAAGTAACTGTTCAATTCAGTCAAATTAATGTATATTTGAACAATATATATATAAACTACTTTCCATATGTGCAGCTGAAGTTTAATGATTGGTACTGTCTTTACTACTCGAAACGCGATAAACAATGTTCATGTAAACACACAAATTTGTTCATTTAATTATTCGCCATCAATGTTTCAAGAAATGGACTAACTCGTAACAAAGAAGTGTACAATGTAACCGGAGTTTTGGCAAGAAAGAAGGCAAGACGAGTAGTAAAGAAGACTTGGATTTCTCGATAAACAAAGTTCGAGTCGACAGAATCGTCATTCGCGTGTTATTGCTTCTTACAAATTATCAACATTATTCTTTATTCTTGGAAAAACAAGTATATACAGTTATACGAAACTTACGATATCCTACATAATATACAAATTCTTTATATATATATAATTATAAAAAATAAACGCCACGATTATAAAATGGGTACTGTGTGTTCCGATTAAATGCGTTTGCTGCTGCTTATCACTTGTGTGAATTGTCCGTTTAAATATATTCTTTGAACAAATTCTCGCCTATGCATATACATACTTATAAACATATATATACGTATACGTATGCATATGTATACGAATAGGCGGCCAAACGAACAATTATATACATATATATATATACATATATATATATGTGTATATATGTCGCTTTCCTCAATTCTGAGATCTAAAAATACAATCTAACAATTGCCTTTTCTTGTTTGTCTCGTTAATACATTCGCCGAACATCTGCTATCTCTCTATCTTACAAGTAAAAAAATATATGCGTTATTCTTCTAAACATGTAACTTCCATATATATTGAAAAAAAGATGGAACGATTAAATAAGAAAAGTTTCTGTCAAATTCGTCCTCCGTTATAATTTTGCCATAGAAATATTGTGTTTATTGTGGACAAGAGAATTGCCCGAAAAGAAATAAGTAATCATTAGAATAATAAATTCTTTTCAATTATCTTCCACTACTGTACCTCAAAACAAATTGGCTGACAAGTGCATTTGCTTCTTTGGTTGCATGAGTCCTTAATTTTACTGACATACATATACATTTCTTATAAATGGTAATAAATACTTAAAAAAAGGGGAAGTGAAACAAGATATCGACAGAATCTTTAAATTTTGATAACAAGCCAGAACAGGTTAGTCATAAGAATTAAACAATTACTAATTTTCTTACGACATCCCTTATATCGTATCAAAAAGCGTAAGATTTTATCGTTAAGGCCACAATCATGTCATGATCTAAAAAAAAAGTTCATGAAGTGGTTATTTATAATAAAAGCCTAAAATTGTAAAAGTCTACATTTAGAGATATTATTGAGAAGAGCAGACGAATAATAAATTCATGTATAATTGCCAGTCTATATCACCACACAGCGTATGGATATACAGCTGCATGTGTCGTCCCTACGTAATACAGCATTTTAAAATTCTGAGATTCTTTACATGTATCAATGCTATTTACGCTAGCAAAGATAGATAGTACTTATAACTTAAACTTTACACTATTGACACTTTATACTTAGCGTCCCTTTCAATATATCTCTATATGCTAGTATAATTCACTTATGCTTTACAGTATTCGCATTTGTATAAGTTAAAGATTTGTTTTCCTTTCAAAACCTACAGCAGTCTACGCTTAAACGCGTCCTAGATTATAAATGCATTGAACATTGCTCTCTCCATAAAATAAATTTCAATTTCAACGATGAAACATCAAACTTATCGCGTACATCATTTCGTGTAGTGTCAAAACGCATCTCGCTAAAAATTCTTACTACAAGTATCTGTTTTTGGATGAGCAGCAATTCAATGAAATGGAAAATCGAACTTTCTGACGTTTTTTGGGGGGCACACCCCTCTCGGGTAATTTCGATAAATGTCTGCGTGGGGTGCCCTCATCGTTCGGTCGAATACTTATTTGGTCGATTGTGAGATTACTCTATAATGAATTTCAATGAAGATATACAATCACTTTTGAAGGCTGCGATATTTATTTAATAATATCGTTAAATATGGAACACGCGCAACAAGGCACAATACTTTCACAAGCTATCACACGTGTTAGAATGAATCATGTTTACTTTGCAATTAGATCAATAAAAAAAAAAAAAACTGGGTTAGCACCAGCCTAATTTTGTTAAGATGAGCAAGTATGATTGTCTTTATATTAAAACTTTCACAAGCTGCGTAATGATAGCTGCAAGAAAAAAAGTTATCTATGTACGTCCTGTCGAACTTTTATTCTCCATGTCAGAGAATGTTTCGATCACATATCTTTATATAGCGATCTGTGGATGAGCATTATATATATATATTATTATTATATAATTAAGAAACTTCTTATCACCATTGTGCATATCGATCTTTGCAAGAATCATATTTGGTGTTATTAAATTTAGCTTAGTACTATTTTGAAGGCGAGTATAAACATTTTGATAATTATAAATTTCTAATGCATATCATTTAAACCGTTCATAATTGTAAACATCATCAAAAACAAGAAAATGCAGCTTATATATATAAATATATATATTAGTTGCAAAAATGAGTTATATGTGTAGAATTTTCACAAATGTGTATTTTAGTTCTCCCTAAAACTAAAATCGCATAAGATTTTGTAATATATTATTTTTGTCATTAATACATCTTTATATCAAATATCTCTGTGACTACACTCATTGTAGTATTGAATTATTGCAGCAACGTAATCTATTCGAGATTCTTTTTTTCTTGTATTGTCTTTTATCTTTTTCACTTAGCATAGTATCTAATGTTATATACCCTGAAGCTCTGTCTTCCGGATCATCAAACAAATTCTATATAGTACTAATGTTAGCATTAGTATCGTCAAAAGGGAGAAGGGGGAAAAAATGACGTTAAGTTAAAATTAATATGTTATTATCAAAAAGGTTAATTCTCTATATATTCATATCGTAGAGATGTGGAGGGGCACCTACCACTGAAGGCATTTGACAGCCACGTCGTACTAAGAGACGAACAGATGGTCCACCATTACGTATAATTTCTATCGCTTCTGTATGCGTCATGTTTTTAGTATTGATACCGTTTATCTCAATTATCTGATCTCCAACCTGAAATAATACAAGTGCGTACATGCGTTAAATTCATAGTTAAACCTGTTTACATGCAGATTATCATATCAGAGTTATATATAACTTAACTTTTAAATTAATTATATATTTTTATGTAAATTCCACTCACTCTAAGCCGATTGTCAATAGACGCTGGACCGTTCTCAGCGATTTGCAAAACAAATAAAGGCATGTTTTGAAATTCGCGGCCGCCGCGTATGCTAAAACCGAAACCCCTAGTGCCCCGAGTTAGCTCCACAGCATGGTACTGACCTCCATCTCCATCTCCTGTAGGTTCATCCTGCGAAGAAAAATTCAAAGTTCTATAATCGTTCTATAATGATCCTGAAAAAGTGAAGGGGAAGCCTGTACCTTTTGAGAGAGAGAAGTATTGCTACAACAATCGTCGAGCGGATATCCAATCGTCAATGTGACGGAATAACCGGAATCTTTAATTAAATTGACGATATCCTTATGGCAAACGTTTGTGATGTCTATGTGATTGACAGCGAGAATATGGTCTCCAACGTTCAATCTTCCGCATCTTTCAGCTGGCGAGCCTTCGATTATCCTGCCGATTGTGGAGCCGGCTTTGTTGACGGACGAGATTATCACAAAACCGAAACCTTCGTTCTCCATCCGAGTGACGGTGACGTCATATGGATACTGAAGATTCATTTGCCGGCCGTATGAAGACTGAAGATTCTCTTGAAGGTGCTCTTGCGTGTTGATTCGGCGTCGTATTCCCAGAGTCACTCGGCCGTTTTGCGCCGCCGCTATCATCAGCTGCACTACATGGTGATGAGAAGAGTTCATGACGCTCTCTCCATCGACGGACATAATCAAATCGCCAGTGTTGAGTCTATTATCAAGATCGGCCGCTCCGCCAGGAACAATATGACCAACCGAAACCTGCTGACCATGATATTTTTAATACTTTTGTTTTCATTAGTTTCTTTTCGTGCAATGACTACACTCGATTTCGCAAAGTAAGAAAAGTAACGTCGTTAGTAAACACTTTTGAATTAATACAGATCGTCAAAACCAACCTGAGATCCCTCCTCCGTACCGCCCACTATTCTAAATCCAAACCCAGTATCTTGTCTGATTAAAGTCACCAGAGTTTCTATCCATTCTATGTCGGGAACCATTGGACAGACCAATTCGTTCGTGTATTGAGGATACCTGTAACAAATAAAATAATTTGACTAATAAATAAAATCTATAATTTTACGACATTTAATAATTTCCAAACGCACATTTTATTTATCTAATAATCTCATATTAATTTGATATCTTTAGAGAATAAAAATGATGATTTAATTAAAATTCCTTATATAAACTCATAACTTTTAATGAATTAACGATACATACCGAGATATGGAACTGGAATGTGGTTGTTCGTGCTCGAAACTGGTCGTTTCCTTTCGTTTATCCCAGATCTCACCGGTGTCGACATTCTGCTCCTGCCCGATGGAGTACACATTGTAATCCTCGTTATATTGGGAGTGCGGTTGAACGGGATAGACGTCCTTGTAGTAATCGGAGTGTAAGTATCCATTCTGCTTGAGCATATTATCGTGACGAGAAATGTCGATCGAATACATGTCGTTATTGATGTTCAACTTGTCATTCGCCGTCCAATCGCGTTTTGCTGTATTTCTGATGGAATCATCGTCGAGATTCATTACCGCAAAATTGTCCGACAGATTGCCGGTGATATTAGCTTTGTACGGATCCGAATAAAACATCCCGTGCGAATAGTCGGAGTATTTGTAGTGATTGTCCAGCGGATTCAATTCGTTTTCGCCTTGCACCTCGTTCCAATTTGTTCTGCTCGCACTTGGCGGTGATTTGGAACGATTCCTAGTGTCGATTAATGGCGTTTTCGGTCTGCTGGGTATTATCGTTTTCGACTGAGTGCTGTAGATATCCGCAGTGGGCGTTTTGCTTCGGAAGAAGTCCTGCATATTCTTCTCCTTCTTTTCCTTCAACTTTGTCGTTGTTCGTTGAACGTGTATTAACGCTTCTTCGCTGCGCGGGCAATCCTTCAGCACTTGCACTACTTCCGAATGACACATATTTCTAACATTGATGTCGTTTATGTTGACTAGGATATCGCCTTCCATTAGATTCTTGCAACGCTGACGATCCAAAATCTTCTTGACCTTCTGACCGTGAGCGGAGTCCGCTATCGTGAACCCAAATCCCATGGTTCCCTTCACAATGGCGATGCTGAAAAACTCCGGTTTGGAAGACATCGACGAATCCTTACAGTCGTTCAAATCGCTGCTTTCCGACAGTAAAATGTCCGTGCTGCTCGGCCTCTTAATCGTGTTGATTTTATCCGAAATGCAGAGATCGGGCATCGAATTGACGGATGTTGTAGCAAGATTTTCTCCATTTTGCAGACTGTGCACTGGCAAGAACGTGGAATCCAAAAAATTGAAACGGGCATTGTCTTGAAGAGAGGAATTTAAATCCATGTACATTGCGGGATCTTCTGCAACAAAAAATCCAAGAATATAATAACCGATTCTTTCGTTTAAAAAAAACAAAAAAAAATAAATAATTATTAGCTTCCTCTACCAGGTGCGTTGACGGCGATCGTGGTCACAACCTCCGTGTTAGGATCGTTGGGGTCGAAAGGTAACGGGTAACCCCGGCATACTTCCAAAGACACTGTTTCGCCACTGCCAATTGACTTGAATACGTTTACCATTTCGTTATGTGTGAATCCTAGCACGCAGGTATCATTAACGTATACTAACACGTCACCTGAAAGTAAATACAATTGTGAACAGAGGCAAATGCAGAAGTGAACTTATTTGAGAATTTAGCGGTATTTGAAAGTTACCGGTTTGAAGCTTCCCGTCCAGCCATGCAGGACCATTTGTCACGACGCTCTTAATTTGAAGGAATTCCTCCACAGTGTCGTCACCGCCGACGATAGTAAATCCCAAGCCCCGCGAGCTCTTTATTAAGGCAGTTCTTATCCTCTGACCCTTCAGCTTGTCGGGATTTCTGGTGAAGTTGGGACTTTTCCTCTCGAGCATATTCTGCTGCGCTCTTTTAGCTTGCAAAACTGGATTTTCGTATTGAGTTCTACGATTTACGTGATCAATAAAATATGTGCCGTACAGAGTGTCGTCGATCTTCTCCCAACCGTAGGGCAGTTCATCGTCGAGACATTCTTCTAAAGATCTTTTTTGAAATTTTGACAGACGTGGGTCTAGCCAGTGAGATGTGCCTGTGTTGTGACTGCAATGTGATCTTATAAATATATGTTGAAATATTAGGAACAAATAAAATGAGTGACGAAATAAATAGCAATAATAAAAAGATTAATGTATTTTTTGTGCATATTTTGGCACATTTTTCTAATAATATTAATAATTCCTATATTAAACAATTGATATTACAATTACTGTACTGAATAATTAGAGTTTATCAGAATTACTGATTCCTAATACAATTTTTTTTTCTAATCCAAAGAACTACTTAATCTTTTCATTATCACAATATGTAAGTGATAGCAAATGTTGCATACATACTCTATAAAATAAACTTCTCCTGTGTCTGTGTATGCCTTTTCCCAGTTAGATGGTAATGGACCTAACTGGTCCTCCGTGGCTGGAGTACGATTTCGAATGGTTTGTTCTTGATCCGAAGTTCCTGTACTTTGCTCCGATCCTGTATTATATAAATACGTTGATGGAAGCCTTCCCCTATCATTCCCACCAATTGTCAATATTTCCTTATCCAAGCTCTCTCCTTTAAAATATGACACATGTAAAACACATGTGTAACTTGGCAATTTTCATTACATTAATATCCAAAAATGATTATAGTATCACTGTACCATCATTAGGATTGTCGATAGAGACCGTGTCTTCAATCTTCGTAGCCATCTTGAAGTCTTAAACTTTCTTTCAAAATCCTAATAAAAAAAAAAATACAATTGTTACAAGATATTAAACAAACTAGAATGTACAAATAAAGTATAATATACATAAAGAAATTAATTAATAATTTACGAAAACTTGGTTTAAAATATATTTATAGGACGAGAAAAATTTATAAAAAATTAAATAAAAGTATCAAACACATTTAATATTCAACAATTCAAAAATTGCTTCAATTCACACAGATTTAGCATTATGTTTCATAAAATAATTGCGCTAATACAAACATACGCGAAGCGATCATCTAAAGCTGTCGTGTAATTAAGAAAAAACTTGTTATTACAGGCACAGCAATCGTACCGTGTATGCGTGTGATATAGTATTATCATGTATTACATTGCATGCGTCACGGACGATGATCTTTCTCGGTGTCGGTACTCACCGGTTTCGACAACTTTACAAAAAAGATGAAAGACGGAATATAAAACGCAGAAAAAAATAATTTTCTCAAAAAATCTTAATCTCCATTTTCTTCAACTTTAAGGAAACTTTTTTATAAGTTACATTTTTGCTATACTTGAAATTAGATATAAATGTATATCCAGGTTTTTTCAGTGGCGAGGAAAAAAATTTTTAAATCTAGGGCATCGATAATATAATTTTTCCCTAGAAGCGGAAACGAGAAAAGTGAAAATTTCCCATGAATTCGACGAATAGAATTTTCAAATTCACATAAAAGTTTTCATTTTTCACGCTTTCGCTCTTAGGGAAAAATGATATGATCGACGCCCAGAAAGTGCAACTAAACGGATTAAATTCGCAATCCGCGATATTTGAACATACAAATTTAATCGCATGCTCTCGGAGCCGACTTTATGTCGCTGGTGCGTCGCGACGACGCTCGCCGCACGCGTCCAAGCGGACAGGTGTCTGTAAGCGCAATTACATAAAATGAGGAAAGGAACGCGACCGCGAGAGACAGGAAAGGGGGAGAGCAAAAAGAGAGAAGGTGAGGAAGACAGAAGAGGGGGAAAAGGGGAGAAAAAAACGCACACGCGGGGCATGGCAGGCGAGTCGCGCGAACGTGAATGCATTCTTACGAATGCATTCACCCGTGTGCGGCGCGCACCGCTCACATATGACGCGCGTCATTGGGTCCATTCGTCTTGGAGTAACACTTTCTTGTATCTTCCACATTTCAAGTAGTCAAATTGCATATAAAGAAGAAGAGAGGAAAGAATGAAAGTCTATGCGAAGCGAATTTATAACAAACAGACCTAATCGGAATGTTAGATGTACTTTTCTGTATTTTTTTTTTTTTTTTTTTTTTACATATGAAGTGAAGTAAACGCATATTCAAAAATCTTGGAGAAGAAAAAAAAAGGGAGAAACGAAATTAAAGCAAATGTAAGCGAAACGAATAAACTTGTCGAATGCAGCTTACAGCATACATGTAGCTGTAGCATTTATGTACGCTGTGCGACACTACACTCATCGTTTCGCTACGTAACGTAAATAATGTTACGCTGGGGGGTGACGACTCCCTCGTTGCTCTCTTTTTCCCCTTCTTGCTCTCTCTTTCTCATGGTTCTCCCGCATCGACGTGGCGAGACACATGCACCCGCACGGAGAAACAATGGCACGCAATCTCGTGATTTTCCTCGCGGATTCGCATTTAAGATGCTTGAGCGATCGTTGCTGATTACAGCAGCACATTGTCGAGACGCTAAATCTTCCAGGAAACTTTGGAGAAATAACTGATGAAGAGAGACGGAGAATGAGGCGGAAAGAGTAAGCAAAAAAAGCAGAGGTCGAGAGCGAGAGAGAGAAAGAGAAGAAAGACAAAAAAAAAAATATATATATATACATATATATATATATATGTATATATATAGCGATTGCATCTCTTCCGTTTTCTCTCGATAACGACGATGAAGGAGGCGACGGGATTACTCACTTTGCGTTTCCTGCACGATGATACGTTCGTTAGCACGCGTAACCGTCATGGTTCCAGTAGTAGTGTGGGCAGTAATATCTGTCGGAATAACCGTCGGCACTGAATCACTCACGGGCCGCTCGAAACACTCATCGCTCCATTGAGACGGTTGTGCGCTTGTGACAGAGAAAGAAAACGTACACATACGCTATACACTCGCTCGCACAGCATCGAAACAAGAACTATATTACACAGCGTACTCGCCGTACCGCCACTTACTTGTGTTCATCCGCTCGTACGTCCGTACGAGGCATTTAACCGACCGCCATGCTTGCGTCGCCGCCGCCGCTACTTGCGCTTCCATCACGCGCACGCCCTAATCACGTGACCATCCTGTTGCGGGAGATTCAAAACTGAGCGCCGCGTCGCGTTAAGCTTGTTTAACGTATAAAGCTTGTTTAATGGGATAAAAATATCTTTTCTGTAGTTGCGTGCAAACAGAGGTATAATTCTTAATTTTTATTTGATTTTACATCAATTATTCAAATGCATATTAATTTCATGATTATTTTACAATTATTGCATATTTTTAAAAAACGTGAAAATTTAACAATAAGATTTAAAAATAAGACATATGTTTCCTACAAACATATTTTTCGTTATAGATCGACGAATATATTTTTCCTATTTTACAACATTGTTTCGACAAGTATTAAAAAAATTATTCTTATCATTTCTCAGTAATCATACTAATTAGATGTAAAAAAATTATTCATGCAAACGGCGAAGTGTTCTAGAAAAAGATCTTCTCGTTTTATGCATAAAAGAAAGTGAGAATGAATTTGCAAACAATAATAAGTATGCATATTTCTCTTGTAATTTGCATCAAATGTACCTGAATAAAATAGATTTTATTTATCATTCATAACTTTGCTTAACTATCGTTAAAGCTGAACAAAATTGTAGTCATCAATGATCTTATAGCGATCCTCCCGATAATGCTGCTGGTTGTCTAGGAAACGCTGGCTGCTCTCGTTATGGAGTTTCGTCAGTACAGGTGGTAGCGACGTGACGCCTGCGGTATTCGCTAGGTCATCGTAATAGTGACCTTGCTCGGGGCCCATCATGTGAAAGTGTCTCTTCTGCAGACCTCTCTCAGCGCGTCTCGCCGCTTCCTCAGCCTCGGAGCGCAGCATATCCGCTTTCACGGGAAACTGCCTCTCGCCGTGCCAGTGTCGTAGGACGAATCGCGTCTTGAAATTGCAAGTAATCGCATTACCATTATCGCGGTACTACAGCATTGTCATGCTGACCGGTCGGTGAATGCACGGCGATGATTTTCTAGAATTTTTTTCGTCGCGCGCGATTACGTTCCTTACAGCCACGTTGAAGACAATTTCATACGCTCCGAATGGCCTATGCACTTGGAATGCACGTCCCGACCGAATTATACATATACAATACCCGCGCGTTTGGCACATTTTGAAATAACAATTTAAAACGTTGGTTTTAAATGTAAAATAATGGATTTTAGATATATATATAAAATCATTGGAGAGTACATTATAAATATGATAATATTTTAAACTTTAAATGAAGGCAGCAATCAACGAAAAAATTTCTTACCTGCAAGTCGAACATACTAAAGGCACAAACGTAGAACGGAAGACCCACTAGTGCCAAGGTAGGATTCTCTATGGACACCAAATGCTTCCAAAGAGGTGTGACCATATTGGAATCCACTCGGATCCCGCAAGATTCAGCGAGGAAAGGAAAGTTGTACTTGTACCCTTCCGAAGAATTTTGAAAACGCGTTATTTTAATTATTCTAGAGAATAAAGCAACGTCTCTCCTAATGACATCTGTAATGAGAAGTACCATACCTGTGCAATAAAAAACGGCACCGACCTGCTCTTTCGTACCGTCCGCAAAAACCACCTCGTGCTCCTTCAGTTCCACGACATCAGCTTTCTAAAAAGAAACCATCGCGTTCGCTGAGAAGTATCTCCATGTATGATTTTACTATTCTCTTTTTGACTTTGCGCTTTTACCTGCACGACGTTCTCGGGAAACACGGTGGATATATTCTCGGTCAGATGATGACTCAGAATCACGCGATTCGCATTCTTGGATATTTCGAATGACAAATCCAGGCCTGTTTGGGGGAACAAAAGAATGCCACACTTCAATTGTCGTAAATGGGCCTGCCGAAGAGTTTTTTCTCCAATTCTTTACACTCCCAGGCAAATGTTCACAAATAATTTTTCTCTTTTAACAAAATCTCAATCTTCTTAATTATTAAAACTGCATAGAATATTACAATGGCAAAAGAATTTTTCGAAATTTTTATTTAAAAGATAAGCAAACGATCGGAGTGTAATGGCATGTATACCGGAAGGACCAGCTCCAAGGACGACGACGGTCTTGCCATCAAAAATCTCAGGAACTCTATAGTCGTGGCTGTGTATCTGCTTGCCCGTGAAAACGTCTTGGCCGGGTACCTTCGGGATTCTAGGTTCAAAGTAATGACCGTTGCACACCATGATTGCATCAAACGATTCGGTCACGACAACGTCGTTCTGCAGATCCCTGACCTTGACCGACCATTTCCGGTCGGCCTCTGCAGTCGGCTCAACCAGCTCTACATGATGCAACAGCTGGCACATGGAATATGTACAATACACCGTAACAAACTTGTCATTTACATACATTTTTTCAGCAATTTACATACTTGGCGACTCATAATATTTTTTAATAATGTTTAATCAAGTTTTATGCACCAACCCGAATGTAAGAACGTAGCGCAAAGTGATCGCAGTATGTACTCAAAAAGTCCAGCATCTCTGTACGCGTTAAATAACTTTCGGGTCTTTCCGGTACTGGAAAATCGGGATAACCCATTACTTCCTTCGGCAGATTAGCCCTAGCGACAAAATAAGCAGGTACAGAATTTTCATAAATCAAATTAAATTTGCAATAAATTTAAATTTCATGATGCAAGTTTGAAATTTGCGAAGAATTTATTATTGTGAAAATATTCTTATTAGAAACATTTTTTACTTTACTTTTCTTTTATTTTACTAATTACATCTTTTAACAATGGTGTAAGGATAAAACTAAGACTCAATTTAATATTAATTGTGACGAACTTATAATTAATTTATTACTATTAATTAATTATTATTTTTCTATACAGAACTAAAAATTGTCAAAACGCAAGTTGCTTACAATGAAATGCAGCGTACCTGAGACTTTTGTACATGCTAGTATGAATCGGTAAACCGTATTTATCAAAACCAGTTTCCTCCCGATAGACCCAAGTGCCGCCGATTTGGTCTGTTTTTTCGTAGCACACTACTTGATCATCGTAAGCGCCGGAAGTGCAATGCCGGAGTGCTGCAAGTCCCGCAGCTCCGGCACCGATCACGGCAATTTTCATGATCACGCGGTTATTTAATTGCAAGCTTTGCAAAGCACAAAGAATCCTCGTTAGTACCTTCAGCGGAAGTTATTGGCAACCTATTTTTCACACAGTTAATGGAGTACAATCATAAATTTTAAAAAATTCTATAAATTTCAAATAATGCATAACTATATATTTCGGACTTTCCTTATTCACTTTTATTACTTTCAGCTGATACGGAGATGATTTGTCTTTGGTTAAAATAAAAGGAATAATTACTTTTATCAAAGAGAAATAATCTCCATCTGACCCACACTGACCGAGGATGATAAAGATTATCTATATGCCAGTTATTTATTAGCTTGATTCACGAGAAGCCGCAATCTTTCGTTTATTATGATAAAACATCATCTTAAATATTATAAAATATATAAAAAAGGGTATATATATCGGTAATTGACAAGTTACTTTATATAGTTGCAATTATGCTTGATGTAAAACTACTAATCTCTTTCTTAAAATTATACCGTTGCACATGTCTGTGCCGAGCGGAATCGATGATACATTTATGCAACTTTCCCTGTCAAAATCGCAAAACGCTTGCAACAGTTCTGATTATTTACGGCTTCACGCGAACTGGCTAGATTTGTAAGAAGTGCGACAGATTCGATCAAAAATACTAATCTTATCTTCATATGATACTTTTATCAGATATTAAGAAAATCATACTTGTACATCTTTTTAAATTAAACTTTTTATATTCAAAAATGTTCACGTTTAATTGATAACAAATGATCGAATTGGAAGGTATAATAACTTACGCGTTGGATATATACCTCACATATGTACAAGTGGAACACACCTGATTAGACGTTAAAATGAGAGTGTCGTAGCATTAATCAAATTCAAGATAAAAATAATTTCAACATGATATGATAAAATCATATATAAAACTTTATCTCGATCTGATATATGATATATGATATATGATATCTTATTTTTACGATATAATTTCTCACAAATGAAAAAACGCAAAGTACTCACTCCAATGTAATCCCGTTGAATGCGCGTATCACAGTCAAAGTGAAAAATAAGCGAGCTCCAACTGGAGTATTACGAGATCATTAAGGAAAGGAGAAATACAAGACTGATACCGATAACAAGGTCGCCATGTATCCATATAGGTCGCGTGTTTGCCATATAAACACAAAATTCAGCCTTCAATCTCTTTTATGTGTTTGCTTTATTATCCCCGCGTATGACCATAGATACAAACACTCGTTCAGGTAGTTTTAAGTTTAGTCTTTAAAAAATACAACAAAAAAAGTTTATCAATAGATCACTAATTATACATAAAGTAAAAAGAGTACTTATACACTTTTATATGTAATCGTTATATAATTACAATTATATAAATAGAATATTTACAGCTTATATATAAAGCTTATATATAAAATTCATAAAGATTAGCTTAACTTTAATGTATGATGATGAAGCTTTCATTAATTGTACAATGGTACATATTTGTAACCTAAGTTTAAACAAAAAATTGTTTTTTTTTTTCAATTTTTAGTACCTAATAAGAGAACTTCCAGATGAAAATTCTTTATATAAATATACAATAACGTACGAAAAAGAGTTCTCTTACCAGCGTCCTTTTCTCTCCGACTCCCATTTGCCTTTGTATAACATATACAAATGCATTGCTGTTCTTGCATCTTCCACAGAACTGTGTTCACCCACTTGTATCTCTTTACCTAATAATTCATGAGCGAGTTTCTTCAGACTAGGAGTATTCCCTTTTGTTGTCTGTCGAAAAGGTTTGTATCTCGAAGTATCGCGCCAAAGTCTTCGTGGATGCGACAAATATAACACGCTGAGGTCGTGCTTTAAAGCATGACCCACCAGAACTCGACCTTTCAAGATGTCGGCCACTTCCTTTTGTACAATGTTGAAGTCTTCTCCATCTTGCAAGTCTTCAGGTCGAATGCCACTTACCGCTGTTCTATAATCCACGACTTTTTCTCTTGGTTTTACATATTTATCATATATGCAATTGCCATGTCTATTTACAATTGATACTCGAGCTATCATGCTCTCTGTACCATCGCCGATTCCAACCATTTCACAATCCATGGCGATATGTTTTGTCAAAGCCTTATTTTCTTTATTCTTGACAGCAATCTGGTTATTACTTTGCTCTGGCAAAGTCTGCAATTTTGTCAAAGTCTTATTTTCTTTATTCTTGACAGCATTGTGCTTATTACTTTGATCTGGTAAAGTCTGCAATTTTATCAAAGCCTTATTTTCTTTATTTTTGACAGCAATGTGCTTATTACTTTGCTCTGGTAAAGTCTGCAATTAAAAAATATGTCAACAATGTTCATATGTACATTATGGCTGCGTTCGAGGAGCGTGCTATTAGCGCTATTGTGCCATTTTATCCTTGTTTTATGTCTATAAAGCGATAAAGATAGAATAATGCAATAATGCTGATAGCGCGCTCCCCGAACATAGCCTATATATGTTAAGTATATTGGCTAATTAATAGGACTTATACAAAATATTTTAAGTACTTACTGTTTGAAGTGGATTAGCAAGTATATTTTTAGGTTTTGGATGTCTATTCTGTGAAGCAATTTTTTCTCCATTGCTTTCTTCTGACTTGGCCTTTTTGTATGTCTCCCAATTACATCCAGGTGTTTTACGTTCTATACTTGAACCAAGTTGTTTTGTTTCTATTTTTGTCTTGTTTCTGCTCTTCTTCTTCTTCCTCACACTGGTCGATACATTGTCCATTCTTTAAAAATATTCCTTCTCTTTATTGCCACTGTTTATTTTTCTATCCTTTTTCAGGTTTTCGATAGTATTAAGTTTATTGTATTTCTAATTGTTTATTTTCTAAATTCACATATATTCTCATATATGTACAATTGCGATGTCCGTATATATTTGAAGAGCACGATATATTAATACAAATCTTCTATGTTAAAGTCTAATTTTCTCTAGAATAAACAAACAGTATTGATGAGTGATGTAACCAAAGTATGAAAGTGATCTTGTTGAAATCCATGCATTAATAAGTACAAAATTAACTTATCAAATTGTTAATAATATCATCAATAATTATTTTTTTAGTAACATGTTAATTTAATTCCGAATCAAATTACTTTATTTATTCTACCTTTCGAGTTAAATATTCGAGAGTGATTGTACATTCCAGCAGATGCATATAGAATTTTACAACCATAGAACAAGCACATACAAGTTGGTCAAAATTACTGTTCTCAAGAATACTTGATTGTGATTGGTTGGTTTGCTTAAATATCTTTTATGCTAATTTCAAATTGACCTTAAAGCTCGAATTAGGTATTATGGTAGTTTTCCACCAAGAGACACAAGCAACACAAAAGTATTATTCTCTCTGTTGCTCATTGAATATCGAACAAAGACAGAGTGATATTTGTGTCGATTTGTCAACTTGTGTCCTTTGCTGGAAAACAATCTATGTCGGTAAACTTCCTAACCTTATTATTAAATAACTTCAAAACAGTTTGAAACAATATATTGAATTAAGTGACGATTTTTGAATGTTTATTTAGAAATAAGAATATCTATGTATATAATAAATAAACTTTTTAAACTTATGCAATAAATTTCTTGTAGAACAATATAAAACCAATTCTTACCTGATTAGCATCCAAACGACGAAACATACAAAGATAATAGAAAACATTATATTTCTAACAGCTGTGTAAATCGTTTTTCGTACTGACTGTTTGTCGACTATTTAAAGGATGAGAATTCTTTCATGTAACCCATTACAGTTAAACTAATAAAGAGAAATATTGTTTTATGAAATGAAATCACTAATAATTGTCCGTGAAAACTAATGTACATACATACATACAAATAATATCATCTGCATCATTTCAAATTTATCATCACGAATATAATCACCTTGAAAAAATGTTTATCATTTACCACAAATTATTTATACTAGTTCATTAATCATTAATAATATCGTATATATATATTATGCATTATGTATATTTGGCAGCACAAAACTAGAAGCGGAATATACCCTTATGGAAGATTCATACTCCGCAATGGTACCACATTTACATTGGTAAAATTACTTGAGAACTAGGACAAGTATAATAGTGCTGCACTACTGCGCATACCTGCATTTTTCGTTCTTTTTAGGTCTGTTCTTTATAGCTGAACTGGCTGCACTAAAAAAGCTCCACATTGGAAGGAGAAAGATAAACTCTGAACTAGTGCAGCCAGTTCAGCTATAAAGAACAGACCTTTTGATTGCGTCATTTTTTCTGAACAGTTATTTTGGTTACACGTGGTTTTATTTTGCACCACGTATTGTTCCGGTTATTAGGAAAACCGAACATACGATTACACGTCAATTCCACTGTGAAACGTTAACATTGCAAAATGGCAAAACAATTGACTGATCGAATTTTAGAATATTTGGAGAAACATGGTGAAACAAATTCGCTAGATTTAGCGAATGAATTCCAAGAAGACCATCAAAAAATTATTGGAGCCATCAAAAGCCTTGAAACAGTCGATGATGTAAATTTAATTAATTAATAATTGTCGCATGCTGTTTAAAATCGTATTTTTAATTATTTGATTATTTTACATTATGATTAATGTAAAATAACAATATGTGCTAATTGTATTCATTAAATACTTTTTCTATCTATAAGTTTTTTATCACAGATATAAATAATTTAATTATTTAATTTTAATTTTTTTCCTAACAGTTGATTACAGTAAAACCGATTTCTAAAAAGAAATGGGAAATCACAGCTGAGGGAGAATATATAATAGAACATGGTAGCCATGAAGTAGCTATTTACAATGCTATTCCTGATGAAGGAATATCTCAGGCAGAGCTTATGAAATCAGTTCCCTATGCTAAAGTAGGTTTTTCAAAAGCAATGGTTGCTGGATGGATAAATCTTGACAAAAGTGGAACTAGTCCTATTGTAAGAAAGAAAGCACCATTCATTGTGGATACCATACAGACACATTTAAAAGATATTTCAAATATCCCGGAGAACATTAAAACAGAATACAAAAAGAGAAAACTTCTACAAGAAGTGTAAGTTATACAAATATAATGAAAGAATAATGTAAAATATAATTTTACATTAATTTCTTATTCTGTTAAAATAGGGTGATTAAAATTATGCATTTAGAAAAGGGGCCAAATTTTTCTATAAAAATAGAAAAATTAGAAGCAGACTTAACATCAGATTTGTTAACAAATGGTTCTTGGAAAAACAAGAAATTCAAGCCATATAATTTTGAGGCTTTAGGTGCAGCAATTCAAATTGGATCTTTGCATCCATTGTTAAAAGTCCGTCACGAATTCAGAAAAATCTTTTTGGAAATGGGGTGAGTAACATCAAATTTGTAACAATTTATATTGTTTTAAAACTAAATTTTATACAGTTTAATTATATACAAAATCACTGATTGAACAAATTATATATTTTTGTATTTTTGTTTCAGATTCACAGAAATGCCCACCAATAATTTTGTAGAAAATAGTTTCTGGAACTTTGATGCTCTCTTTCAACCACAACAACATCCTGCTCGTGATGCCCATGATACCTTTTTTGTTTCTGGTAAATTATTATTGAATAATATATAAAATAGTATTCAAAAGTATGGCTAAAAAATTAGTATGCTATTTTAGAACCACGTGTTAGTACAAAATTCCCCATGGATTATCTTGAGAAAGTAAAGAAAGTTCACAGTAAAGGAGGATACGGATCTCTAGGTTATAGATATGATTGGAAGTTGGAAGAGGCGCAAAAGAATTTACTGCGCACTCACACAACAGCTGTTAGCGCACGTGTACTACGTAAACTTATGCAAGAGGTATGTAGTCTGAGGAGAAGTGTAAAAGTTGTTCCTTTAAAAATCATGAAATACAACAAAAAGTGTTTTGCAGGGAGAATTTAAGCCTGTAAAGTATTTCAGTATTGATAGAGTATTCCGTAATGAGACTTTAGATGCGACGCATCTTGCAGAGTTTCATCAAGTTGAGGGTGTTATTGCTGATTATGGACTCACATTAGGTGACCTTATCGGTACTTTATATGAATTTTTCAAAAAGCTTGGCATTACTCAACTTCAATTCAAGCCTGCATATAATCCATACACTGAACCAAGTATGGAAATATTCTGTTATCATAATGGCTTGGAGAAATGGATAGAAATTGGTAATAGCGGCATGTTTAGGCCCGAAATGGTATTACCAATGGATTTACCACCTGATGTAAATGTTATTGCATGGGGTTTGTCATTAGAAAGGTATGAAAATAAATTAACTTGCATAATGTTGCATGATTTAATATAAAAACGTTTTATTTCTAATTTAGGCCAACAATGATTAAATACGGTTTAAACAACATCCGTGATCTTGTTGGACCAAAAGTGGATATGGAAATGGTCCGTACGAACCCTTTATGTCGATTAGAGAAGTAAATATCATTCTAATCATTAAGGTATTTATGTTAGAATTTATTTTTTTGGAACTAGGTAAAATATTTTAAAAATGAAATCCTAAAATATTAAATCTGAAATAATTAATTCCAACATTAATTCTGATGAGAGTAATATGTTATATATGATTAAATTAAAGTCGATTGCTGTAATATTTAATTTTGAAATTTATTATTTACATTGGCAGAACTAGTCGAATGATTCATTTACCACGAAAAATTCAAGAACAAGAAATATCGATGAAGACTCAATCAAAGCAAGAAGCTCAACCAAAACTCGGACAAATGCAAGAATACCCTTCAGAAAAACGGAAATTTTTAAAGGAAAATCTGGTTATATTTTGTGATCCAAATCAGCCAATTTATTTTGTGGAGCCTTTTTTACAACTCATAGAACCATATCTTAGTGTTTCTGTATCAACGCACGTTCATTCCACAGTGACAAAGTTTCCTAGTGAACTGTCTAGATTTTGTTCCGACTTTTCCAACACAGACAAGAATGTGGATATATCAATAACTTTAATTTGGAAAACCATTGGGATTGATCCTATTTTAATGGTATCAGGCACGCGTGTAATTCTTGGGATAGTGAACATAGCGAGATTCTTAAATCGTTTGATTGAACCAACCAATATGAATGTGTTAAAGTATGAACAAAATGGTTCACTTTACGCGAATAAGATTGATTCTTATTTAGATAAAATACATTGTGCTTTACATGGTGTAAAACGTGATATTAATATGCCACAAAAGATTTGTGAGAAAACACGTTATGTGATGGGCGACGATATCTCTATAGTCGATCTTATTCTTAAAGACATTGATAAGTATAAGATAAAAAGAGAATTAATTTATTAAATCCAAATTTATTTTGCATAAAAATAAACTTTATGCATGTCAATAATGAGTACAAATTTCTTAAACAACCTGAATATTAGTAAGTAATTAATAATATAGTAAGTGATACGCGATTCCTACAAATATTTTACAATTTATTATATTTTTAACCTTAGCTTCGATAAAATAGTTATATGATTCTTAATTATACCTCAGTCGGTTTTAAAAGTATCAAAGTGCTTATAAAGTACTAAAGATATATGGTTTCCATCGTCTTGTTTTATATTTTTAAAACTTATTAATGTTAATTAAATTATAAAAAATTAACTAGAAGGAATCCAATAAATATTTTTATAAATCCGAATTTTTATCTTTTGATATGCCCAACACACAATAGAGAAAATAAGAAAAATAGGAATAAATATTAAATGTTAAAAATAGGAAATAGAATTATTTCATTTCAGAACAAAAAAAATGAAATGTATTAACATATGATGAATTAAAAAATAAAAATTAGAAATAATTGATACATTTTGTTTCTTTGTTTGAAGTAAAATAATTCCTCAAAAAAAATTGCTCTTCCTAATATTTAATATTTATTTCTATTCCTAATATTTTCTCTATTGTGCATTTGACTTAAATCGGAGAAATATGCAATATCGCCTTCATTGCCGGTTTGATTAGGAATGAGACAGAAAAACACTATTCTACTTTCTTTTACTATTCGAGCTAGCGAGTACGCATTCTCAATTGTATGCGTTATTCATGGTGATTTCCTCCGCGTGGTTTAAAAGCAAGAAGTGGTAAGAAGTACGTAATACTGTATATAACAATTTATTATAATTAAATATAATATTAGCTATACATAGGACTATATTTAAATTAAGACATTTGTTTTTATATTTTCTATATATTTTTCAAAATATGTTCTAATTTTCTATATATGTTTTATGATACTTTTAGGTTAACTGTTCAAAATCCAAATAAATAATCCAGACATTATTAGTTGAAATCATGAAAAATTTGGCAGTTCACCGACAATATCGTCGAAGTTTGCAATGTATAGAAGATATTAAGACACATTTGAAAGAATCTTCGAAGATATATTGCACTGTGAATCCACATACTGATGACTTATACATTTTATTGGGAAATCAGCTGTATACAGTATCAAATAATTCCACAGAAAATATAAATAATTTAACTATTATTGAACATGAAGAGAGTTTCAAGATTGTTGCATTAGAATATAGCATTATATCACAAGAGTTATACTGTGCATATGAGGTTGGCGATATTGCCAGGATAAATATAAACAATAAAGACAATATTGAATACGAGATAATATTTACACACGATGCTGGCCTACAGTGTATGAAACTTAGTCCGGATCATGAAATAATTACAGCTGTAAGAAATGATGGAAATGTGATTACTATGATGTCAGATTATTTTCAAATAATATCAGAGGTAATGTATGCTTTAAAGTTTTATTTAACTTTCTTGAGTATACTAATGTGTCAATTTATAATTATATATATATATATATATACATACATATATATATAATTATTTGTATTAATACATTGTCATTGTTGTGCATATCTGTTAATGTAAATAATTTTTATATAATTATGCATATGTGATATTGTAGGTAGATTTATATTCATCAAACTGTGAAGAACAATTTGTTACTGTTGGTTGGGGAAAAAAAGAAACCCAATTTCATGGTTCTGAAGGTAAAGCAGCAGCCACAGCTAAACCAGAGCAAATAAGTGTAAATGAATCAGATGATGGTTATTCTCGTATCACTTGGCGGGAGGATGGTAGTTTATTTGCTGTCAGTTTTCTACATGATGTAACAAAAATTCGACAATTTAAAGTATTTAACAGAAAGGGTGTCTTGCAATATACCAGTGCATTGACCAATGGATTGGAAGAATGCTTGGCTTGGAAATCGTCGGAAACTATGATTGCCACAACTTTAAGATTGGTCAACAAGCATGTTGTTGCATTTTTTGAGAGAAATGGCCTCAAGCACAGTGAATTTTTACTTTCTTATAAACCAGATGAAATAATAGTACGTTAAATATTATAATACGCAATTCTCCAGGATTATTTTATACAATTATGCAAATTTATATTTAAACATGTATCTTTATATTTTTAGGTGAAAGACTTACTTTGGTCACCAAATGCAGATATCTTGGCTATCATCTGTGAACAACCAAAGATGAGCAGTATGGCACTGCAGTTATGGACCGAAAAGAATTATCACTGGTACCTTAAACAGACTATTGTCTTTGATATTGATGATCCACTGGTATTTGCAAGATGGAGCGTTATTGGAAGATCTGAAAATGAATTGATTCTTATGACAACAACAGAAATTATATCTTGCTCTTTCAATTGGTGCGTGAATCATAGCAAAGGCAAAATTGTAGACGACAAAGCTGTGGTTGGTGTTATTAACGGAAACAAAATGCAAGTTACTGGTTTCAGAGATGGAATTGTTCCACCGCCAATGGCGCATCAATCTTTGCAGCTTCAAGAATCAGTAAATGCAGTTGTCTTTGCACCAAGTATTCTTGATAAGACATCTTCGATAAACAGCAATATGTTTTGCACTGTTTCGTGTAATAATAATTTGACGTTTTTCAAGCAAATAACGGTAATCACTCTATCGATTATAACATAAATTTACATAAATTGATTTTATATGCAAAATTCGCTTATTATTACAATACGTAAATTATTATGCTTTGTAGAATTCCTGCCCGTTGCAATATGAAGTCTTGAAGTCGTGCAACGTCGAATGCAATATACTAAAAATTGATAAATGCATTTATAGCATGCATCATTTCTTGTGGCTTGCAGAAGATACTATGTTATGTTCTATAACTACAGCCACATCTAATTTCTTATGCGTTTTATCGCTAGATAAAATAAATTCTAAAGAAAATAGCCATTTGACAATACGGTACGTCAATTAATTTCAAATTATTATAAAAATTGTAAAACTACTAGATTATAAAAGATAAATTTGTTTTTTTTTTCTTACAGAAAAACTTATATCATGAAAAGTCCAATAGAACATATAGTTCCTTCTCCAGATGCAAATGAAGCTTATATAATATCGGGTGGACTGGTATTTAAATATTTTAAAAATTGTAAAGAACTGGAACAAACAATTACATTAAAGGAAGCGTGCTACCAAGTAGAAGTTATGAAAATTGATTCAAAGCACATTATCATTGCTTTGTCTCATCCAAACTGTTTTTTGATTGACGGAAAGGAAGTTGCTAAGAACATTACAAGTTTCTATGTACATTCTGATTTCTTGCTTCTCTCAACATTGCAACATACATTAATCTGTCTTCCATTGGACAAAAGCGGTATGGAGCAGCTGAACAAACACGATTTAACCATTAAACCTTGGGAAAGTGGCATTTTTGAGAAATTTTCTGCTGGTAAATATATAGTATATATATATATCACAATCTCTTTCACATGTAGCATGAATCTTTTATGATTTTTTACAGGTATCAGTATTAGACGGATTGAAAGAGGTTCTTACGTAATGGCAGCAATACCTCAAGACTCGAAAACAATTTTACAGATGCCTAGAGGAAATCTAGAATGTGTTCAGCCAAGGGCATTATCATTGCAAATAATAGGACGTTTTCTCGATAACTGTAATTATTACGCAGCGTTTGACGTCATGAGGAAACAACGTATAAATTTGAATTTAATATATGACCATAATCCACAACTATTTATGGATAACGCTGATAAATTCGTAGAAGAAATTGCAAATCCAAATTGGTTGAGTTTGTTTCTGACAGAATTACAAAATGAAGATATCACGCGTACGATGTATGCGCATTGTTATCCGAATCGTTCCGCAGAATCGCTTGCAATATCAGAAAGTGACGAGTCCAAAATTGATAAAGTAGACCGGATTTGTAAATTATTAAGAGATATTATGGAAAAATCGCACAGTGCAGCTGATTTAGTACAACCGATATTGATAAGCTTGGTGAAAAATCAACAAAGGCAAGGATTAGAAAAAGCACTTAGTAAAATAAAGCAGATCAAAATGTCGGAGGATTCACAAAAGTCAGCGCAGTGTTTTTCTTCAACATCTTCCGAAGATGCATTAAAATATTTACGGCTTTTAGTAGACATCAACGTTTTGTTTGATACTGCATTAGGCATGTATGATTTTGAATTGACAATGTTTATAGGCTCTAAATCATTGAAAGACCCCAAAGAGTATATTCCATTTTTAAATGGTTTGAAAAAACTAAATGAAGATTACATGAAGTATTCCATTGATATGCACCTTAAACGTTATGAATCGGCACTCGAACACATATCCAAAGACTCAACCAAGTTTGAGGAATGTTTGCAGTTGATATGTAATCAGAAACTATATCCAAAAGCGATGAAGTTGTTTAAGAAGAATAATGTAAAGCATAGAAAAGTGGCTGAACTTTACGGGGAATTTTTACTAAGTAGCAATCAATATCAAGAAGCTGGTATGATGTTTTATAGAAGCGGCAATTTTAACAAAGCTTTACAAGCATTTAGCATGACAGGTAGTACTTGGCAAGACGCCATTACAGTGTTAAGAGAAATGAAATTAAGGTAAAGATATAATTCTCTGCTACATACGCATAAATCTGTTCTTAACAACTTTAATTCTGTAATATAATATGTAATTTTGTCATTTAATAATTATATATAAATTTCTAGTTTAAACGATTTGTACGAGTGTTATAAGGTGCTAGTGGAACGTTTAAAAGCAGAGCGAAGGTATGAAGATGCAGCTACAATATTGAAAGATTACTTAAACGACACTGAAGAAGCTGTAGCACTATTGTGCGAAGGAAGAATCTGGAAACGTGCAATAAGAATAGCACACGATATCCAGCGGCTGGATCTACATGGTTAGTGGACGATAAATAGAATTAATATTTAGAAAGTTAATCATGTAAAAAGTAAATTTAAAAATTACCAATTTGAATGTAATAGATGTATATTTTTTTTAATTTTTACAGAAACTCACATTAAACCCGGCGTAAAAGAACATGCAGAACATGTAATATCACAATTGAGTAAAATTAGATCAGATTTTCTGAGATATAAATCGCGTCTTGCGTTAGTAAGAGCGGAAATAAGTGCAAAACAAGCACGGCCATATGGCGAATTAATCTGTAATGATGGAGCAATATCTAGCAAAGAAGTCACTGATTTCCTCAGCGATACAAGCAGTGTGGTAGATTCTGTTTCCAGTCGAAGATCACGAACATCTACAGCTTCTGGGTACGTTCAATTTCTTTGTTACACTTTTCACAGTTGGATAAAGTAAGACATATAAATATCATCTTTTTCAGGAGAAGCTATCGATCAAGCAAAAACCGCAGAAAGCAAGAGAGGAAACTTTTGAACTTGAAGGAGGGCAGCATGTTTGAAGATTTAGGCTTAATACACGCCCTTTATCAAATCATTAGCAATGCATATAAAGAGAAAGGTTTATTCAAAAACAATATCATGTTACTGCATCTTTGAATACACACGTAATGTGTTAATAATATATCTTTTTACTTGTAGATGAGTGGCACCAGCTTGTACAAGTGTTAATACGTTTCACATTTGATGAATATGCGGAAAAACTCCAAATTGAATTAAACAAGTTCTTTCAATTGATAGAAAGTAGTAAATCTGAAATTTGGAACAAATCTGCACCTACGAGTTTAACCGAGATAGTAAGTAATCGTTAAAAACATTTTAATAATTAAGTTTAAAATTAAGTAATTTTTAAATTATACTTAACATTTCTTCTTACTTATTTTCAGGAAAAGATGACGAATTATACACCGGCACAGCTTCAGGAAATTACTGCACCTATTAAATTAGTAGGCAAGTGTGGAATTGATAACTTTTTACACATTAAAAATACATTAGTATAATTAATAACCTTTTTAAATTTTTAGAACGTTATTTGACACATCCACCTGAAAGTGATGCAGTACAACGGATATCTTTTCAAAATTTTTTCAGAAATTAATACAAAAAAATTTTATAAATTACATTATTTTATAAAATACATTCTTTTGAAATATTTCTTTTGAAAGTTTTAATTTACTGATTAATAAATTGAAGGTGTTAAGATATTAAGGTAATATAAATAAGTTGTAGTAATTTTGTTATTTATTTACAAAAGTATATGTATAGTTAATTTTTATTATTATACCTAGTGCATACTAATATTAGTTAATTTTATCATTACAATTATAAATTTTCAGCTTATAAGACTTAAGTATACATAATAGCCATTTGTATCTAATTCTGAAAGATAGTCATATATATATATATTAAATATCTGAATTTAGAAATGTTAAAATTTGGATTTAGAAACATAACAATATAAATTTTTATCTTGTTTTTAGGTAAATACTTATAAATTATTTTATATACATATTTGTAAGATGTAGCAATATATAACGCAGAACCGAATTATTTTTTTATCACTTTTTATCCATTGATGTGATAAAAATATATATATTATATTTCCGAAAATTCATATTATTTCTTTATAATTTTGTACAACACTTTTATGCAATTTATATTTCAAAATAGCGAAAAAACTTAATAATAAATTCGCATACTAAGGTAGATTATATTTGACAAAATATGGCTATAAAAGCATAAAAGTATATGCCTTGAAATACTTACATATTTTCATATGACAAAAGCATCTATGTAGGATTTATATCAATTAAAAAAATAATATCAATTAAAATATTTTTACAATCATCTAGGAATAAAAACTAAAAATCTTTATTAATATTTTATTATAAAAAGTGTTTTGTGAAATTTCTGATAAACCTAGTTTAATTATGGGTCCAAAATAAAATCCATCAGCATTACCTGAGTAAATTTTCATGCATATACTTATAAACTTTTGTATGTAATTTTTAAGTCGCTTTTTATCTACTTTATATAACTAAATGAGAATAGACTTCAATAAGAAAGTCGCGCATCAAATGTCTAATCCATACGCTTTCATCTTGTAATAAAGTTTACTTTATCTTAATTTTTGAAGGTAAAATGGTTTTCATAAAACGCAATGTCCATTCGTATTCTCCATATAACATTCAATGCGCTAAACAAACTCCTTATTGAAAATGTCTCATCACGTGCATATATAAATGTTACAAATAAGTAGGCATGCTATTCTGCTCTAGTAGAACTTTGTGTCTCATTGCTTCTCGCTGCAATGGCAAGCAGAGTAGGCGACTTAAGCTCTGGCCGAACACTAATTTTCATGTGTTTCACATGAACGTACTTCTTCCTTACAGCTTGATATTTACTATTTTCTGCATTAACTATTATAGCAGCTATATCACATACTGCAGGTAACACATCGTCCTTAGAATAGGTGCTGTAGTATGCTAGAGTATCTGTCCAGATAGCTTTACTTTCGTCTTCTGTATCATTACCAATAATTCTACAAAAAGAAACAATTCGTTTATTGATCACTTCATATTCCAAAAGAATGCAATGTAAAATAATTTAGTTATTTCTTACAAAAATGCTAGATATATCGCTGCTGCAGCAATGAGACTAGGTGGATAATGGCACATTTCATAATGAACCAAGCTCTGCTCAAGGAAATATTTTGCCATTGTATGATGTACAGGGAGTGCCTTAAAATTCATATTTAATGAGTTATAATTAAATAAACAAAGGTTTAAAATTTCAGCAAATAATGGTCAACGATAAATACCTTTCCAGCTTTGCTGTACCTACGAAGAAAATGCAGCGGCAACGGCCGGCCGAAAGAAAAGTTTAGAGTTTTCACAATGAGCATTTCCATTTGCAATATATCCGACTTTGTGTATGCTTGATCCGTTATGTAAACAAAATCTGTTATATCCGGCGAATACATTTCTTCATATTTGCTAGCAATAAACATAGCTGTCACACCTACCAGCTGCAATCTCTTTCTGTCTATAGTCCGGTAAGACTGTAATATATATATATATATACATATATATATGGGTGTAATATAAGAATAAAGAACTTTTGGGGCAAACAAAATAAAACAAAAAAAAATTAATATGTTAAATGATGTAAATAATATTTCACTGAGTTTATTATATATTAGTATTATAGTATATTATGTATATAGTATATTATAGTATATTATGTTGTTTGCATTTTACCTGTAAGAAACGATCGATAATTGCAGCTGTGAGATACAAGGTCTCTTGCATTAATCGAAACTGCTGATGTACTTCGATCAACCAATCTATCAGCACGCTTCTCATTTTAGGAGTGATTTCTTGGCCTGCTAGATATCCTTTTTTAATAGGAAATTTGACTTCTAACGATCTTAAATATTCATGTATGTCAATGGTATAGAGGGCAACTAAAATAGGATTCTTGTTGTCTTGTTCATCAATATCTTCAAATTTTAATAGATCTGTTGAAAATGATTTTTTCCTTTCTTTCTTCTTGCTAACAGAAATCAATGCTACATCAGTTGCGGATATGCCATCTACAATGGTGGTCTCTACATGTTTGACTGACTTTGCAATTTCAACAGCGTTTTCATCCAGTGGCTTTTTAGATACATTTTCCACTGGTTTCACAACTTGTCGCTTTTGTATAATTACTTTCTTCTTATCTTTTTGTAATAAACTAGTTCTATCTATGGGCTCTGTACCCCTCAATGTGTTAACTCTGTTACTTATTTCACCTAATGCTGCTCTTTTTGTGTTTCTAGGTACAGCAACTGAAGATTTGACATTTTTAATATTCTCCTGATTGGCATGATTCATCTGAAATGCATTTCAGTAAGATGTAAGAGAACTTATTCCAGTAAAGCAACACAAAAAAATAAAAGTTATACGTTTAAAATATTTACTTAAAATTTACAATATTTGTTAAAAGTTTTACAATATGGAAATAGATATATTTTTGTTGATTATTTTGTTGATATATTAGATCCTAATAATTTTGATACTTTATATTGTTTATATACTTTATATTTGATACTAAATATTTTTATATGAGAAAAAATAAAAAGAATTTCATAAAATAATCATTATTTTAAGATTATGATGTAAATCTAAGAAACTTATATTTACATTAAATGCTAAAAATTTGATAGTATTTACAAAACAATAAAACACTACGAAAAGGCGGGTAAGGAAACACTTTCCTAGACGATAAAAAGTAAATGAAAATATTGCATAGTTCGAAGAAAAGCATAACTAAAACTTTTCACAATTAAACAAAATCAAAGAATCATTATCTGATATTCCGCAAGACATAAAAGGTAATAAAATATGATTAGTTTCACAACCGACAGGTATTTAAAGATGTCAGGCTAACGACCTCTCCCAGCACGTATACTTTTAACTAAATTTCACCGTTTTCCCGCGGATATAAAATTTGTACTTACAACTCCAATTCGATTTCTCGTTGCCATTATCAATCAAAATTGCGTAGAAAGTTTCTATCTCCACAATGCCAGACACAAATTTCTGTCTCTCCCTTCGAGAAGCAAGCTGCACAGATCTAACCGATTCTCGCTTCTCAAAGTAACGACTTCGATTTGAATTTGTTTAACCGCTCCTCGACAGGAGTTAAGCCTGTTGCACATAGGATGCTTTGACGCGTTACGCGTAGTAAGCGGTGACGCGGTAGCCAATCAACTTACAGCTTTATCGTAAGAAAAAAAGTTTGATTGGCTAGCACGTCGCTTTTAACTACGCGTCAACGCGTTACGCGTTGAGTGTGCAAGAGTCCTTAGCGCAGCAGTGCGGAGGCAGCCGTAACTTCTATGGTATTTTAACTGTAGTTTTCCGGTTGGAAGAATCAATCGATAAAAAAGAGAAGTAGGAATGGTTGGAATAAAAAGGATGCGTATTTTGTTTATTATTTAACGTAATATGTACTACTTATATGCACGGAAGAAGAATTATTATTAATATTTCATAATTATTTTAGCTTACAATTACTTTGTAAATTTTTGCATCTTTTCGAATTTTTAAATTTGCAATTGTAAAAATATTTACATAACTTGCATTTTTAACTTATAATTATGTATATAACTTGGGATTTTGCCACAAGAGGTATTTATTGCCAAGGCATCTGATAGAGTTCATCACAAACAGCTGATCGTGACAGGTGTCTTCCAAAATTTCAGAACTAAACATTGTGTAAAGTAGAATCACATTTGCGGCAATTCTTTATTATCTTTTTCATAGTTGCATCAAAAATGCGTATTTAGTGAAATCTGTGAAAATAATTAAAAAATGTCAAGCTTATCGAACGTATCAGTGATATAAGTCAATAGCATATAACTTGGATTAACAAAGTAACAGAGTTTGTTGAAAGGAAATTATCATATCAAGTATCAAAAGAAATCATCTGTGAAATGTCTATCAATATAGACATAAAATTAAAACGCGCAAGCAAGATATATCACGAGGGGGTTGGTTGATCATTTTAGAAATTATTATTGTTATATTTGTGATATATTTGGATTCAAAATTGAGGTTATATTATAGGAAGTGGTTGCTGGTCTTATAATGTTAAAAACTAATTCTGATGTAAAGCACGATGGTATATTTCTTACTATGGAAGGTTTAGTAAACTTGCAGCTTAGTTCAAAAAATGTTGGTATTTTTGAAGCATTTTATAATTCTGTTAAGGTTAGTACATATCTTTATCATAAATGAATAAATTCTATTGTTTATTATCATATAATTATTATTTTATTAGTATCTGATTAAAATACTTTTTGCATTTACGTTGAATTGTTATTAAAATTATACAATGCTGTAATTGATATATAAAAGCTGTTTAATTACTTTATGTTTTGTAAATATATATATATATTTTTTTTTCCAAGTGTAAATCTAACACATAGATGCTAATTTTTCATATATAAATCATTATTGTTTTTAGCCAATACAATTAGTGCAATACACATTGGATGTTGCTCCATCAGGCAAGATTCCAAGTGGTAAAACAGAAATACCATTCGAATTACCATTAAAACCAAGAGGAAGTAAATCTCTTTATGAAACATACCATGGTGTTTTTGTAAATATACAATACTTGATACGTTGTGATATAAAAAGAAGTTTTCTTGCAAAAGACGTGAGCAAGTCATTGGAGTTTATAGTTGAAGACAAACCAAATACTAAAGTAGAGAAAGAGCACAGTAAAATCGTATTCTTCAAAATAATGCCAGAGTCTTTACAAAATACTAGGGACAGACCTAATGTGCCAAGATTTTGTATTTCGGGAAGATTAGACTCTCTGTATTGCAAAATCTCTGAACCCTTAACTGGTGAAGTATGTATCTTTTTCTAAACACTATCGTTATTCAGAATATTGCATCTTATTGTATAAACTTGTAGGTAATAATTGAACATTGTGAAGCTGTTATAAAATCCATAGAATTGCAGTTAGTAAGAGTAGAAACTTGTGGATGTGCAGAAGGATATTCCAGAGATGGTAATAATAGTTCTTTACAGGATTTTGTAAAAATTAACAATTTTATATAATATTGATACATTAATGTATGACAGTAATATATGACAATGATGTATGATAATTGATTAACATGTTATATTTTCCAGCGACAGAGATACAAAATATACAAATTGGTGAGGGAAATGCTTGCACAAATCTCGCTATTCCAATCTATATGATATTTCCAAGATTGTTTACATGTCCTACTTTAAGTACAAGCAACTTTAAAGTTGGTAAGAACATCATTGCATCTGGTATCTATTCATGAAATAGAAATGTAAATTTTATAATGCATTTTTTCTTTTTCTTTTAGAATTTGAGGTAAATCTTATCATTGTTTTCGAAGACGATTATTTGGTCACTGAGAACTTTCCTATTATACTCTCAAGATATTGAGAATTAAATCGTCCAATAAAGCCATACAAAGAAAATTGTTTTGTAAAATACTATTTGTAAATTTTTATCAAATAAAATGTTTAGCTATTTATATAAACACATTCACACACATTCTTAAATATATGTAAAAAATGCATATAAAAGACATTCTTCATATATCTTCATTTTGTGAACACGTTCATTATATTTGATGTAATTAACATGTAAAAAGCTAAATGCTAGCAATATAAATTAAGGAAAAACAATTTTTTTAATATTTCACTTATTTCAGATTTCGAAAAAAAATTTTTTATATGTATTGTTTTAGCATTTATAGCCTTTTACAGTGTTATCGATCTTGGCACATAAAACTTAATTTTATGAAATTATATATTAGCATTCTCTTATAATCTTTTTCTTTTGTATTAAAACTTCAACTTATTGCAATGGCAAGTACTTGAATTTTTAACCTTTTTTTTATACAAATCCTGCTTTTTGCAGAAATAATCTATAATATTTCTCTACTTGTTTATTTTGTGTTAATCCAACCGAAGCTAACAATACGACGTAGCCAAGGACAAACGTCAGTAATTTATGTTGCTTGAACCATGTCAGTAATCCTGAATTACTAGTAGTTCTGAAATAATAAAATATTTATAAAATATTAGTTACTTCCTACAAAAAATAACATTATGTTACATAGCAAAAATTCACCTAGTTGCATGACGCTCTTGGGTATAGACGAGCAGATAGCGTACTCTCACTAAATCGCTGTTTATCACTACAAAATATTTATCTGGTACTCTTTCACCTCCAACTGCATTAGTCAACGTATTTTGCACATTATCTCCTAAAACAATATTATTGTAAAAATTTGTCTTTTAAACTTCGATGTGTTGTAAACTATTGCTATTAATGCACCGTATGCTTACTTGACTCTCCTCCTTTTATGTCAGGATGATCAACAAGTTCGCAAAGAGCTATACAACTTATTTCGCTTCCAAGAAGACTACCTCCCCATCCATAGCCTACAGGACTGTAAGTTAAACTGACTCCTAATTCGCTCGAAAGATATATCCCTTTGCCAAATTGCGATCTCTAAAAAAATTATTCAAAATATATGAATCTTATTCATATAGAAAAAAACGTTTTGAGTTTAATGTCAACTTGCCATACTTTGCACATGTTTTGTTGTAGACCATAATGTACGATAGAATGAAAATTTTCCAAACGACTACCATGGTATGCATAAAAGGTTGGATAGCTGTTAGCATTAGATTTCCATTTCTCTTCTGCTGTAGAATGTTTTGCACTTACTATTTGAAATATAAGATTTGGAGATGCAACCGGCATCTCGAGTGGTGCTTTCCTCAATATCGAATCATACTGTAATGTAAAAACTTATCTAAAATGTACTATATTATAACATATCTTTTTAATTTTCCAAATATTTTTCTTGTAATTAACAAACTTACACATTCTTTTTGTATGCTTTTAATATGTGGATCTCTCAATCGTATCAATACCCAATATAATAACTCTATCGTTTCACCATAGTTTTCATACACATCAGCTTCGCTAAGTTCTTTGCATAATATTGGCAAAGGAGGAACTGATTCAATAGCTCTCCTCTGTAAAGAAAGTAATAGATCAGCATATAAAATATTACATATTATTGTACAAATATTAATGATAATACCAAAGCTTCAATATCTTTGCACTCATTCTTAATGTACATAGGTGGAAAAGGTTTTAAGCAACTGTCATAGCGATAAGTATTGGATGCTGCTACGAATAAAGACCACTTTAGATCGGCAGCTTTTGGATCCTTCTCCAGTAAATGTCTCAGCGATATTATTTTTTTCTCCACATCTTCAATTATACTACGATCTATTTGAGATGTATTACATACATCTAAACCAGTCTTGGCAGTAATTTTATCATCCAAAATTTCGTATTGTACATTTTGTCGTACACCTTTAGATACTTCTTGATTTTTAACAATGTTTGCCATCGTTATTTATTTATTATTGTGCCTGCATAAAAAGCATAAAAACTTGTATAAAATATAATAAAAGAGAACATGGTATAAAATCAATAATTAATATAATTTAAAGATACAATATGTGAAACAATTTTTATGTTAATTTTCAAAATGCACACCATGTATATCAATATGTAAAACAAAATTTAAAAAATTAAATTAATTAGATCTAATATTTGTTCACTATTAATTTCAACATCTTTAAATTATATGCAAAAGCTTGCCATAAAATAAAATACAAACCACAATCTAAAATAAACACGTTATCAAAAAGATATTTATTATATGATGGCAGTCATGTGATGACGTATACATATTTTGTATTTCCTATATTGCTGAAATCATCCTCACTAACATAATTAGAGATATTTCGTCTCAATAATAATAAATATTTTTAAATTTTATGAAGAGTTTACGACATTATGAAAATAATAAACATATACAACATCGGACAGAAAGCACTGTGTTCTGGGGACATTTAGCACATGTTTTAATACTTACACACTTGAATAACTAGACTGTACTGGCAGTGCTGAAAACCTATAGGTACATAACATGAGTTATAGGTTGTCAGTACTGGCAGTGAATATTGAAAGGAAACCCTAAAGTCGTATTTATCATTGATGTCTTCAGACTTTGATACATAATTACAAAAAAGTGAGATAAGATTTGGAGGCATTATAACATCTAAATAGAAAGGTATTTATAACAAATTAATTTCACGATGAAGATATTTTGTAAAGAAATGTAAATAATCCTTGATTTGAACAAGTAATTATTTAAATTTTGCAAGTTAGAAATAAAGTCTCAAAAATTTGTTCTTATGCATTTACTTTTTACAAAGTTGCACAAAATAGATTCCAAAATTATCTTAGGTTACATGCATTAGCATGCGTTATACATTGAGATATTAAAATATTTAAAATGTTGATGTGCATGTCACAACTGTATGATATAAAACAATTTGTTATAAGATAATATTTTTTTTGCCAATACTCACGATGTCTAATATTCATCTTCTGATTTACGTGATTTGCAACCTTACCATAAACTAAAATGACTAGCATTTGATGAACCACGTAATGCGTGTGGAGTTAATCTTCGCCAAGTGAGCTTATTATTTTCTTCTCACAAGAAATTTATCACAAAAAAATTACGAACATGTTTCTGACGTTTTTCGCGACCTGTACCATATACATTCGTCTTTCATTTGTCACGCCGTCTTCGTTTGTTCGCATTTGTTCGTCAGCGTTCTTCCAAGCGTAAAGAATATAGATGTAAGATACGTGTGAATGCAACGAAGGAGAAAAATAATTGATGAGCAAAAGCAATTAGACGAAGCGTTAAAGTTGATTACGTTGGCGGGAAATTCTAGAATTTAACAGGTTTTGCAACAAATGGCGATGACATTGGCATTATATGCGGAAAGTTTCGCATTTTCCTTCGGTCGAAATAAAAAAATAATGCGACAGGAGTATCGCGATAAGATATCCTGAGCCCTCGTACGTAAGACCGTACATACATGTATCGCAAATTTTCGCGTGATCTCAGGATTATGCATATAAATGTCACGTTGCACCGAGGTTTCGTGTGAACACGCATTTATTACTGGTTAGCACGACACACGCGAGCGCAGTTTAGCGCTCGCCTTACATCATGCCGGCCGGTGTGAATGACGTGTGACCTATGTCGACGAAACATCTCGTTTATGCAATCTCGGGACATAAATCTTGGTTCAAAGAACGCAACGTTGCATTTTTTATACGACGCGCGAGAGGTACTAATTAAATTGTTAATACACGCGTACAAAAAAAATTACGTAAAATGAATTTCAAGCCAGAAGTATGAGTATTGAAATTACTGATGCGATTTTCTACAGAAATAAATATAATTTTTAGTTTTTTTTGTGAGATTGTGAAACCAGTTAGAAATCGAAATAATATATCAGATATTACCGTATCAACTTGACATTTTTTAACATTATTTTACTGGTATGACACTTGGGTATAAAATTTTGAAAATATAAAATAAATACTGTTGATTATCAGTAGATAAATGTTGAATAAAATATAATTATATATAACGAAAAATAGATAAATATTGCATTTTATAATTTAGCTTTGTAACTCTACACAAATATAGCTATAGAAAACATTACTACGTCATGTTTTAATAATATCAGTTTTTTTTTATGGAGAATAATAGCTTCATAAATATTGTTGCTATATTGTGAGATTGTGATATGTTAATGGCACATTTTGTCCTCTATTACGAGCGGAAGGGTTACATTCGCTATAGGGGATACTTTGAAATAATCATGGTCACAAGGATATCTACTTCATCTTTCTGTTCGAGCACGAAAGTGATTAATTCACAATGATACGATGCACGTACATTCTAAGTTTAAACGATACTTTAATTTTAGTTAACTTTTTATATTATACATTTTTTTAAAAATGTTTTCCTGATTCATTTACTTGGCTTAATGTAAAAAATGTTGTAACAACTCAATATTTCTGTATAACTATTTTAGAAAAGAAATATTTTAAGTTATATATATATTCAGAATTTAAGAATATTTCAATTTTGTAGTAAACATCTTTTATTTTTTATTTTGATTCCTATTTAGATGGTTTATTTTTACATTTGAATATTTATAAGAGGTTATTTATTCTTTGCAGAAATTAGTGTGAAGTAGCATGATTACGGACTTTGCTCGGTGCGACGGGTTTGTTCGTGAGAGATCGTTATCGTATTCGCGCGCAATGAGAATCGACCCCGAGGCCAGGGACTTTCGCAATGCAACAATTGGCCGTACTGTGCCTCAATGTCATATTTCAAGGTAAACTATCGATGACGTCAGTGTACGTCACCTAACAAGTGGGAGTGGATGGATAGATGTCGGCAGCCGCGGTGGCTCTTGCGAATCGCGCTCGGTATCTGTGGAAGCCCGTGTCGTCGCTTCGACGCGATAATGCCGCGCGTTTCTTAGCGATATGTAGTGCTGAGTGCGGGAACAGTAGTGGCGTCGACCGACTCGTCGCACGTGTTTCGCCGTGCATGGAAAATCACCGAAATCAATTCGCGCATGCCCGACCGCCGATGACGTCACGAAAATTGTGCTTTTGATCAAACGAGCATTCGCGGTGTGTCTTCTCCCTCTCTCACCCTCCGCCTTTTTCTCACAGTTTCTCTCTCTTTCTCATCTCTGCCTCTCCCCCTTTTTCTCTCTTTTCCTTCGTCTGTTCGTTACGCTCCTTCTTTCTCTTCCCTTCCCTCTCTTTCTTTCCCTCTTTCCTTTTCTTTTTTTTTCTTACTGGACGCACAATAATGTTGCTGTGCAAAATCAAATAATCAGCGAGGTGCGTGCACGACGGGGAAAATCGTGTGGGAGCGGCTGGACCGCCGGCGAAAAACTGTAAGTAATATATCGTCTTTCTTTCGCATGTTTACCTTTTCAAAAGCCATCCGTCAGAGTAGCCTGACATGGCCTTCGTTTAGCGCGCATATACACACAGATGCGCACGCACACACACGAAGAAACATTCGCGAACGAGCGCGCAGCCGCCGTTTACACGTACACATGCATACGTATGCATGTACGCACGTCACGTCGATCTCGGATTTCGGTGGACCAAAGCAGAAAGAACGAGAGAGCGAAAAGGAATTTTCACCCTCCCGAAGGTCACGCGGCAGGATGCGGCCAGCATGCGTCCTGGCGCGCCTTGTCGCGTGATTTATTGATCTTCCTCGCGGTGACATTGGATCGATAATCAAGAGAGTGATAGTATTTGATGATTTTGCAATTGTTACTTGGTTGTCAAGAAACCGGTAGATTTATACTCTACCGGAGACAACATGGTACCCGCAGATCCCGCGAGAGAAAACGTTGACGTAGTATCGCAACTACACTCGGGACATGGATAGGCAGAATGACAGAATAAGCTACTTGTGGCAATCCGATGTCTTATGTGTCAAGGGAGTCGGGGATTCGAGCCAGCTGATCGTTCGTTTCAATATAAGATTTGGCTCCAATATGAGATTTTTTATTTTCAATTGCAACACATAAGAACGCACGAGAAGCGCATAATGAACTTGTACTCGTCACAGGCGTTTTAAATTCGTAAAAATTCGCTTTTTTCAGAAATATTTTTAAAAATTTCGATGCTAGTTTTGATAAGATTTCTATGTGTTAGTCATAAAATGATTTATAGTCATTGATGTTTGTCATCGATTTATTCCCAATGTTAATTGTCAGTTTTTTAATGCGCAATAATCTAACGTAAAAATCATTAATCACATTCAAAAATATACTTTAATGTCTTGTAAGATTTTAAAAATTTATTTGTTACAAAAGAGAGTATACATTTGAGGCTGCGGTATCGTATTTAATACGATGGAATCGATTCATTGAAGAATAACGTGCGTAATAATTATAAATGTCAGCATTAATTAATTTTGCACACATACACTTTTTTTAACACAGCAAACTTATTTCTCCGATAAAGATATATTTTTGCAACGTCGCGATCTTACGTCGCGTCATTTAAATTATGCATTGACTATTGATCTATTGAAAGCATAAAATGTTTAATAGTAAATCGATTAGAATTGCAAAGTCGTATTTAATAGAGCGCACGAAGGAGTGCGGAGAAGTATTTTTTCGGTGAAACTATATCGTAATTTCACTTGTGCTACAGCTGATAAAGACACAGCAACGTTGCATTCGAGATATGAAACCCCTATCATGGTATCGTGGTTGTTATTAAATATTAGAAAACATGATGTTTTGCAACGCTCCGTTTCGTACTGCCATCTACAGCAGCAGGTTAATTTTGCTTTACAAAACTGTCGCCGATAATGTAGAAATCCTTACTGATGTTCGCACTTTCGTCTTTGATATTTATCAGACCAATTAAAATACATTCTGAAACAAAATTAATGATCAGATGCGATTTACTTTATATGAAATATGAAAATTATGAAAAATTCAACATATATTAAATTTAGAATTAAATTATTAATAAAAACATTACATATGTTTATAAATATGTTTTGAATATGAAGTTGACTTACCTACCTATAGATTCCTACCTACAGAGTCATTATTTGGAGTAAACAGTATGATACACAACTTAGCACATTTATGTTAGAAAAAGAAAAGAATTTTTCATTAATATATTATCGCTCGCGATCGTTGCGGTTTTCCTGTGTGCGTGTGTGTGCGTGCGTTCTGCTGTACATTTTGTAAGAAAAAGGAAAAGACAGGTCAGCGATAAAAAATTTATAATTATATATTTGTAAATCTTAGCATTCTAACCTTACTTTTTCAAATTAACTGAAAGTACGAAAAACTAGGTCAAAGACATCCAACGTTAAGAATTATTGAAATAATATTTAATAAAATCAATAGAACAATAAGAAGTGGAGCAATATCATT